TTCCAGGAAGCAATCAGAGGACCCCCTTACCACTGTTGTGGAGAATGGAGCAGCCATGGTCACCTCCACTTCCTTCAATGGAGGTGTCTCTCCTCACACCTGGGGAGATTCTAGTCCCCCCTGCAAGAAACTTCGGAAGGAGGGGCAAACAGGAGCAGGACCTTTAGGAAGCAGGTAACAACAAGGAGGAAGAAGAGGGGATCGAAGGAGGGATTGCAGGGGGCTTTCTAAGAGGAGTACTGAGGAACTGAGTCTGCTGGGAAAGACTGACAGTCTCCCTCCAGTCCCAGACTGCCTACACTTATGTTTCTGTCCCTAGCTGTGTGGAAGGGCAAAGGGAAGTACATGAGAAGACTGGGAAGAAGATATGTACCCTGCCCAGCCCACATTCCCCTTTGGCTTCCATGGTACCAGTTGCTGATTCCTCAACAAGAGTGGACTCTCCCAGCCATGGCCTGGTGACCAGCTCCCTCTGCAGCCCATCTCCAGCCCAGTTGTCCCTAACCCCCAAGTTACAACCCTCCCAGCCTAGCACTTTCAAGGTAAGAGGGGGAGGCTGTTTTTCCTGACTTCATTCTCTTTCCGTGTCTGTTCATTTTCAGGTGCACCATCTGAATATTGGACTCACCACATCCTCTGTCTTCCTTCTTCCTACCCAATTTTTAATCGTTAATAAGTCCTTCCCTGTGTTTCTCCTCCCCCTATATTCCAGATCTCTCTGACTCTTGTCTCACTCACTTGCAGATGAGTGTGGCCACACAGTGCGATCCAGAGGAGATCATCGTGCTCTCAGACTCTGATTAGCCTCCCCATCACTCCCTGACTCCAGAATGTTTGAGGATAGGATTTGGAAGCAGATGACTGAGGAAGGGATGGACTGAGCTAATCCCTTTTTGGTGGTATTTCTTTTAGAAAAACAAAAACCAAAAAAAAAAACAACACAACTTGTTTTACATTAAACAATAAAGTTCTTTTCTTATTGCATCCCTGTCTTTGTCCTTCTGCTCTCACCAATTGGCACCAGCTGTTCTCTAGCTCAGGGTTTGCCGGCCGGCCCCGCGGTAGCCCTGGATCTGTCCTTGCTAACCTACCCTTAGCCCCGCTCTGCTGGAGTTTCACCTGGAAAAATGTGCTTGAGCTCTTTACTTTCCCACTTGGAGCCGTAGGAGTAAAGAGGCCAATCAGGGGCCCACTCAAGGTTACTTGGCCAATCCCGGCCCGGAGGAAGGGGGCGGGGCTTCAGGGATACTAGGGCGTTTAGATCCCGCAAACCCGCTAATGGCCACAGCTCCAAGGGAAGGGGCAGGCTTACAAAATTAAAGGAGAACGAGTGCTTCGGCCAAACCAAGTCCTGAGTCCTCAGCGGCGGGAGAGACCTGGTACCTTTAAGACGTAATGAAGTAACTGTGTTTAAAGGAGAAGTGACTGAGTCGGCCAAGTATTGCCCAGCGACACGAGCAGGGTGCCCGCCTGTGCCTTTAAAGCTGAACGGGCAGGAGGCGGAGCGGAGGCGGAAGGCGGAGGGAGTCGGCGCAAGATGGCGGCGGGAGGGGCCCAAGCTGCGGCTCTGGCGGCCGAGTGAGGGGCGGGGGGGCCCCGGGGCGCGCGGCCCGGTAAGCGGAGACGCGCAGGGTTTAGGGGCGCCTTCCGGGTGGGAGAGGAGGTCAAAGTAACTCCTGGGGCGGAGCAGAGGGGGGCGGGGCCCTGTGTGGGCGGGGGCAGGAAAGGGGCGGGGCCAAAAGGCCACAGGGGCGGATCTTGAAGGGGGCGTGGCCGAATGGGCTGGGGGGCGGGTCTTGACGTGGGGGGGCAAAAGGGGCGTGACCCTCAAAAGTGCCTGGAGCATTGCCTAAAGGGAACTGCAGAGAGAGAGTGTTTTTCAGTAACGGAGCAGACCTGCCCCCCTCCCAAGAAAAGGGTGCAAAACATCAAAAAGGTAAATTTTGGAAAGAGGCTCTCTGGCAAATGGGAAATTCCAAGGGGAGGCACCCCATTCCCATAGAGTACCTATTTCTCTAACCTCCAAGGAAAGCACTGAATTGGAGTCAGGACAACTGAGTATGCTGGCGCTGCCACTTGATAGCTGTGGCCATGAATAATCTCTTGGTATTGCTTAGCCTCAGTTTCCTCACCTATCAAGTGGTGTTGAGAGGAATACCTAACTTCACAGCATTGTGTGGGGAGTTACTCAAAAAATGGGTGTGAACATATTTTTAAACTGTAAAGTGCTGTTTCATTGTGTTATCATTCTTTTTTTCTTTCCAGAGACCCCCCCGGCCGCCCTCCTCCTTCCCTTGTTCCTGTGGCTGGGGGGGTACCACCTCCCTCCACCCTCCATACCATGGAGCCATCTCCTTTGTCTCCAAGTGGGGCAGCACTCCCTGTGCCTCTGTCGCTGGCCCCGCCCCCACTGCCCCTGCCTGCAGCTGCAGTGGTACACGTGTCCTTCCCGGAGGTAACCAGTGCCCTCCTGGAGTCCCTCAATCAGCAGCGACTCCAGGGCCAGCTCTGCGATGTGTCCATCCGCGTGCAGGGCCGGGAGTTCAGAGCTCATCGTGCTGTCCTGGCTGCCTCCTCCCCTTACTTCCACGACCAGGTCCTACTCAAGGGCATGACCTCCATCTCACTGCCCAGCGTCATGGACCCAGGCGCCTTCGAGACTGTCCTGGCTTCAGCATACACTGGTCGCCTCAGCATGGCCGCGGCTGACATTGTCAACTTCCTCACAGTGGGTTCTGTGCTCCAAATGTGGCACATTGTGGATAAATGCACGGAACTCCTTCGCGAAGGTCGGGCCTCTGCCACCACCACCGTGACCACGGCTGCAGCCTCCTCAGTCACTGCCCCTGGTGCTGGGGTCCCATCAGGGAGTGGGACCACTGTGGCCTCTGCCACCATGGGCTCTGTGCGCTCCCATGCCTCCAGTCGGGCCAGTGAGAATCAATCCCCCAGCAGCAGCAACTACTTCAGCCCCCGAGAGTCTACTGATTTCTCATCTTCCTCCCAAGAGGTGTTTGCAGCTTCTGCAGTGGGCAGTGGGGAGCGTCGAGGAGGTGGCCCTGTATTCCCAGTCCCTGTGGTTGGCAGTGGGAGCGCTACCTCTGGGAAGCTGCTACTGGAGGCAGATGAGCTGTGCGATGATGGTGGGGACGGCAGGGGTTCGATGGTTCCTGGGGCGGCGCTCCGGCGGCCCACCTATGCACCCCCCAGCATCATGCCACAGAAGCACTGGATATACGTAAAGCGGGGTGGAAACGGCCCAGCATCAGCGCCCCTGGTTTCCCAAGACCAAGATCTGGAAGAGGAGGAGGAGGAAGACCTGGTTTTGACCTGTGAGGATGATGAAGAAGAGGAGCTAGGGGGAGGGTCGGGGGTCTCAGCAGGGGGAGGACCCGAGGCCACCCTTAGCATAAGTGATGTCCGGACCCTGACTGAGCCTCCAGGCAAGGGAGAGGAGCAGGTCAATTTCTGTGAGTCCTCCAATGACTTTGGCCCCTATGAGGGTGGGGGTCCTGGGGCAGAGCTTGATGATTCAGGGAGGCCCACCCCTTCCTCCTATGCCCCCTCCCTCCCATCACGGCCCCTGCTTCCTGTAGACGTGCAGGGCAACCAGATCCTAGTCTTCCCATCGCCTTCCTCCTCCTCACAGGCTCCAGGCCAGCCGCCAGGGAACCAAGCTGAACACGGGGCTGTGACTCTGAGGGGCACATCCGCAGGGAGCCTGGGTGCCCCGGGTGGCGCTGGTGGGACCCCTGGAGGGACAGGCAGCGGGGACGGGAATAAGATCTTTCTGTGCCACTGCGGGAAGGCCTTCTCCCACAAGAGCATGCGAGATCGTCACGTGAACATGCACCTCAACCTGCGGCCCTTTGACTGCCCCGTGTGCAACAAAAAGTTCAAGATGAAGCACCATCTGACCGAGCACATGAAGACACACACAGGCCTCAAGCCCTACGAGTGCGGCGTCTGCGCCAAGAAGTTCATGTGGCGGGACAGCTTCATGCGCCACCGAGGACATTGTGAGCGCCGGCACCGCCTGGGTGGGGGTGGGGGTGGGGGTGGGGGTGGGGGCGGGGCTGGGCCGGGACCCACAGGGCCAGCCTTGCAGCCCAAGAGAGAGTCCCCCGGGGTGGGCGCGGGCCACGTCGACGAGGGGAGTGGGGCCACGCCCCCGTTGGGCCGTGGGGTCTGGTCCCCACCGGGCGCTCACAAAGTGGAGATGGGCTTCAGTGGCGGTGGAGGAGCAAACTAAAGGAGCGGGCTACCGGGGGCAGTTTTCAGGTCAGGAGACGGAGCACGAGCCAGAGCGCTGGGCCCCCGGTGCTCTCCCACTGCTGTTACTGTCTTCCCCATCCTACGGACTTGTATATATTCTTCAGGGGGCGCCACATGGCGCCGTCACCGCCCCATCCCACTCAGCCCCTCCCCCTCCAATATCCGGAAATTCAGCCCTTCCTCTCCCTCAGGGCGCACCGCAGCCCCGGCTCCAGAACAGGGCGCACGAGGTGGGGGGAGGGAGAGGGCGCCTGTTGAGCATCCTGGAGTCCCAGGGTCAAGGGTCAGGTGGTTGTAGTCTGTGTCTTAAGTCGGTGTTGTTGTGGGGACCAGGCCTGGAGCCCCATCCTTGTCCGAGAACCCTCCCCCAAGGATGTGCTCCTTAAATCTACCCTCACCCCTCCCTTTCCTTGGGGCCCCTCAACTCTATTCTCTTTGGGGAGGGAGTGGAGACAGGGAGGGAGGGAGTCGTAGGAGTACAAGGTTTTTATTTTAAATCTTATTTTTTTTAAACGGTGATTAAAATATTTATTGGTCGTTTCACTTGGCTTCCCACAACCCCTATGTGTTTGCTGGGGACCCGGCACAGGTAGGGGAAGGCGGGGTAATGGTTCTCGAGGAAGTGGATTCTGCGGGGAGGAGGAGCCTAGGGTTGGGCGCGGCTCGGGCTCAGAGGTGCGGCGGCCCGGGGATGGGGGTGGGGCGGGGCGGGGCGGGGCGGGGCAGCGAACCCCGGACCAGCACTGGAGCGGACGTCCGTCCGGCGTCCTCCCCTCGCGTGAAGGATGCACCTGCCGCCCACGCGCCCGCGCCCGCCCCTGGCGGGGATTTCCTCCGCCCTCCCGCTGGCAGTTGGAAGAAAGAGAAAGTGAAAGGAGAACTGGAGGCTTGGGGTTGAAGAGATCGCGGCGCCATGAAGCCCCTGTCCCTACTCCTCGCTGTGGCTTTGGGTGAGCGAGCCCCACGCCTCTTTGCCCTGGAACCGAACGGGGGGGGCGGGGGGAGCGAAGGGAGGTGACCCCGCCGCTAGCCCCTACAAGTCCCTAGAGATCGGGGCACCTGCCTCCTGAGCCGCCCCTCAGCGCGCCCCTCTTACCCAGGCTGGGCGAGCGCGGTCGCGGCGGGACCGGCCGTGATCGAGTGCTGGCTCGTGGAGGACGCGGGCGGGGGCCGCCTGGCCAAGAGACCCGCCGCGCTGCTGCTGCGCCAGGGCCCGGAGGCACCGCCGCCCCGGCCGGACCTGGACCCCCAGCTCTACTTCCGAGTGCTCGGTGAGTCTTCCCGGACTCGCCTCCACCTCCCCGCCTCCGCTCGCGCGACCTCGAGCTCGGCTCCTCCTCTGTAGAATGAGTCTGCTTACTGCGGATCTCTCCCTGCCGGGTAGTTGGTGCATTTGAAGTTCCCTGGACACTGCCCTCCCCAGCCCTTGCCCAGCGGTGACCCCTCTGCCCTCCCCGCCTTCGCAGACCCCGCGGGCGCCCTGCAGTCGGCCTTCAGGCGGTACCCCGCCAGCGCCCCCGCGCCGCACTGCGAGATGAGCCGCTACGTCCCGCTCCCCGCCCCGGCCAAGTGGGTCAGGGGCCTGGCCCCGGAGCAGAGCTGCCCGCGGGCCCTGGACGGGACTTGGTTCATGGTCAGCATGTCCAGCCCGGTCGTCAGCCTCTCCAGCCTCCTGCGACTGCAGTCCGAGCCTCAGCCGGAGCCTGCAGTCATCACCAGGGCAACAGGTAGCCGGGGCGGGGAAGCGGGCTACATGGGTGGCTTCTAAGGGTCGGATCAGCCTGCGACTGCTGTGTAGACCTGAGCGAGTCATTTCCCCAATAGGAGCGTTTCCTTATTTGTAAAGCGAGTGGGGTCGGCTGAAAGGAAACTATCGCCGCGGTGTCTTCCAGCCCAAAACTCACACAAAAACCCCTGAGGTTTGGGGCGGGGCTTTGGAGAGAGACGGGGTTTCCAGGCACCCGGCCTTGAGACAGTTGTAAGGCCACGTGATTTCCAGGGCCTCGGAGCAGAAACTTCCCTCCCAGATCTCTGTCTCGCTAGGCACCCCCACCTTTGCGGGGTTCACACTGTGTCAAAAACCAGCCTCCAGCCCCACCCGTGTCCACATCCGGTGCTGCGGCCATCAGCGAAGTGAGGGCTCTTGCGCTCAAGCGCGTTGGCCTTTCTGACAGCCCCTTCCCTATGGCACCTGGGGATGCGCAGGCTCTGGAGTCGCCAAACGGTGTGCTCGAGTGGGTGCAGGGACAGCGGGAAACCAGACGGTTCCCATTGCGAGCATCGGCCAGCTCAGGGTGAGGCCCAGAGGTCCACCACTTCGCTGGGGCTCGGAGATGGAGGGGGAGGGTAAAGCAAGAAGAGGGAAGGTCGCCATGACCGGTTTGGCTCAGTGGATAGAGCGTGGGCCTGCGGACTCAAGGGTCTCAGGTTCGATTCCAGTCAAGGGCATGTACCTTGGTTGCGGGCACATCCCCGGTAGGGAGTGTGCAGGAGACAGCTGATCGATGTTTCTCTCTCATAGATGTTTCTGGCTCTGTGTCCCTCTCTCTTCCTCTCTGTAAAAAATCAATAAAATATATTTTTACAAAAGAAGAAGAGGGAAGGCCTGACGGGGATATATCGGAGCTCCACAGGCTTGCAGCGGAGTGGGCAGGATAGGAGTCGAGTCCTAGGCTTCCCTCAGTTTTGTGCGATTTTATGTAAAAAATACACCCTGAGCATCAGGTCAACCCCAACCTAGGCCTGCACCTTCCCTCCCCAGAACCTCTTCCCCACCACCAGCCTCCTTGAGCGAGAATCACCCACAGGACCAGGGAAATGGACTCAGCACAACTCCATTCTTGCTCCCCACACCCACCTCTGGGCACCATGGCTCTCGCCAGTGGGAAGGAGTATCTCCCAGAGCTACTGGTTTCACTGGAATGGGACGGGGATGCCCTTTTCTCTCAGTCTGTTTTTTCAGCCGTAAAATGTGTACGCTGTTTCCCATCTGCCTTTCCATTGTTGTGACTATCAAGGGAGCCCCTTTGTTAATTAATTCACTGATTCTATAAATATTTATTAGCACTAAGAACAAATTTAGGGCCCAGTAGTTCCTACAGACTGCAAATAAGAATCCTCTTTGGAGTTTCTGAAAAGTACTGTAACCACCCCCTGGCCTGTGTGGCTCAGTTCCTCCAGTGCACCCGCAGGTGGCGGGTCCAATTCCCAGTCAGGGTGCATATCTAGGTTGGGAATTCAATTCCCCTGGGGCTTTAGGAGCGTGTGAGGCAACAGATTCCTGATCAGGGCACATGCCCAGCGTGCAGTGTGCAGGAGGCAGCCTCTCTCTCTCTCTCTCTCTCTCTCTCTCTCTCTCTCTCTCTCTCATCAATTTTTAAAAAGATAAAATATACTGAGTCCTACTCCAGGCAGATTAAATTAGAATCTCTGGGATGGCCCCATAAGGGTTACAAAAGTGATATGTAGATTCTGTTCTCAAGAAGGTTCTTGGCAGATTTGTCACACCACCACCAACAGCACCACCACCAGGGGGCGCCAGGGAGCCAGCAAACTGGGGGTGTGTGTGTGAGGAGGGGAGGGCATGGAATCTTTCCACCAGAGTCAGAGATCATTGATAATTTTGCTAATTACATTTATACGTTATCAAATACTTTAAAATGTTTGTTGACAAATATACTTTATTAGCATACGTTGTATGATACTTAAGTCTCATCATTTTTCTAAAATACTGTTATGGAAAAATCTCAAAGATACACAACAGTACAGAGAATGGTATAATGAACCCCTATATACCCATCAGCTATTTGTACAGATAATACATTTTATCAGAACCTATCCTCCCACCTACTTTTCTCTCTTTTTTTAAAAAATTGATTTTGAAATAAATTAAAAATAAAATAAAATAAAATAAAAATAAACACGTAGTTGGGACCAAAAAAAAAAAAAAATTGATTTTGAGAGAGAGAGGAAAGGAGAGGGATAGAGAGATAGAAACATTGATGAGAGAGAAACATCATTGATTGGCTGCCTCCTGCACACCCCACATACCCCACACTGGGCATGTGCCTTGATCAGGAATCGAACCCACGACCTCTTGGTTCCTGGGTTGACATTCAACCACTGAGCCACACCAGCCGAGCATTCTTCTCTCTTTTTGAAGTGTTTTAAAGAAGATCCCAGGCATTATATTTTACTCATAAGTAATTCAGAAAGTATCTTTTTCCCCCCATGAATTTTTTCTCTTCCTCTTTGCTCAATCCCTCCACACCCGCCAGAAACCCACTCCCACCCCAGCTGTCAGCCTGCTATCTATGCGTTTGTCTCTATTTTGCTTGTTAGTTCATTTTGTTCATTAGATTCCATATATAAGTGAAATCATATGGTACTTGTCTTTCTCTAACTGGTTTATTTCACTTAGCATAATGCTGTCCAGGTCTACCCATGTGCCAAGCCAGCTCAGCCAAGGGTTCGAAAGCCTGAGTGAGGGTGGTGAAGGATGAAGAAATGACAGACAGAGAGAATAAGCTGGGTCTAGGTCAGGGGTCGGCAAACTTTTTGACTCAAGGGCCACAATGGGTTCTTAAACTGGACCGGAGGGCCGGAACAAAAGCATGGATGGAGTGTTTGTGTGAACTAATATAAATTCAAAGTAAACATCATTACCTAAAAGGGTACGGTCTTTTTTTTCAATAGTTTTATTCATTTCCAACGGGCCGGCCGGATCCGGCTGTAGTTTGCCCATGGCTGGTCTAGGTGGATCTTCCTGTGCCTGGCTGAGGCCACAGAGAGAGATCCAGAGGCAAGCCGAGCCTTTATTTTATAGCTAGAGGTAAACAAGGTAGTGGTCACCATAGTTACAGTGTTCTTTGAGTTTCACTTGTTTTGGCTGCACTTGCTGCAGCTCCCTCAGCCCATTAGCTTCCCAGATAAGATCTAGGGAGTGTGATAAGGTCAAGCCTAATTATGCTAAGAGGACTGTGCCCTGTAAGCTGTGACTTGTTTGTGGCTTTGCCAACAGGTCAGTCCGAGACTTAACCCTATAGCTGCGCCCTACATACCCATGCTATTGCCAAAGGTAAAATTTCCTTCTTTTTTTACGACTGAGTAGAGAAAGCATCGTTATTAAGTAAGGACTTTAAAAAACAAACCACAGCCTGACTGGCGTGGCTCAGTGGTTGAGCATTGACCTATGAACCAGGAAGTCACAGTTAAATTCCCAAGTCAGGGCACATACCCGGGTTTTCTCGTGGGCTCTATCCCTATGGGGTGTGCGGAGGGGGCGGAGGCAGCCCATCAGTGATTCCCATCATGGATGTTTCTGTCTCTCCCTCTCCCTTCCTCTCTGAAATAATATATATATATATTTAAAAACCACACACACACACAAAAACATCCCACAAAAACAAACCACAGCCCAGCCACTGATGTGGCTTAGTTAGTTGAGGTGAAGTTGCCAGTTCGATTCCCGGTGGGGGAACATGCCCGAGTTTCAGGCTTGATCTGTTGGGGGTGGTGAGGTAACCCATTGGTGTTTCTCATCAGTATTTCTAACTCTCTGTCCCTATCCCTTCCTCTCAAATCAATGAAATCATATTTTAAGAAACACCACAATACCATTATCATACCTAACAAAACAAACAATAATTCCTTAATAACATTTAATTCCTAGCCCATACTAAAATTTTCCTGCTTGTTTCAATGATGTTATTTTACGGGTTTGTTTGTTTGCTCAAATCAGAATAAAAAGCAGGTCCATATGTTATATTTGGTGGCTGTATCGGCTCTGGCTGCCATAACAAAATATCATAGACCAGTGGCTGAAACTGCAGGAATTTATTTTCTCACAGTTCTAGAGGCTAGGAGTCAAAGATTAAGGTGCTAGCAAGGTTGGTGTCTGGTGAGAGCTGGCCCTTATGGCTGTGTCATCACAGGAGGAGAGAGACATCTCCGGTATTTCTCTTCTTACAAGTGTTATGCCCAGATTTCAAGATCCCCCAAGACAGACCACTAGGGAGCCGAGTCCGATGCAAAAGCATAGAGTCATTTATTCAAGCCCGGGCTTGGTCCCCCTCCGCCTCCATGACTGGATGCGAGAGAGAGCCCCGAGTCCCAAGAGAACAAAGAATTTATAGGGCTTGGGGAGAGGGGTGGAGGCACTTGGTTGATTCCGGTTGGTTGAGTGAGGGCCGGGGGCTAGTTTCCCTTGCTTTCCCATTGGCTGAGATAAGGGCAGGCTGAGTAACTGATACATTCTGTGGCTTTCCTGGGAGAGGAGTTAGGGACACAGCTATCAGTTCCTTTCTGTTCTTTTACTATCAGTTCTGTTCTGTTCCTTCACAAGGACACCAGCTCTATCAGACTGGGCTCTACATTTATGAGCTAATTAAACTTTCTCACCTCCTCATAGCTCCCATCTCCAAATATAGTCGTATTTCAGGTCAAAACTTTAATATACAAATTTGGGGAGGAGGGAGACCACAGACATTCAGTCCATAATAGTTTTGTCTCTCTTTTATTAAATCCTCACTGGAGGATATGTTTTTCATTGATTCTAGAAAAAGGAAGGGGGAGAGAGAGAAACATCGATGTGAGAAACATCGATCAGTTGCTTCATGTACATGCCTATGGGGGATTGAACCCACAACCTGGGTATATGCCCTGACTGGGAATTGAACCCTCCCCCCAACCACCACCTTTTGGTGTACCAGACAGCGTTCTAACCAACTGAGTGACCCAGCCAGGGCTACAGTTTCGTCTGTTAAATCTCTTTTAAATTTGCCTCCCCTCACCCAGTTTTAAATGCTATTGGTTTGTCCTTTGTTCTATAGAATTTCCCACATTCAATATTTGGCCAATTGTTTACTCATTGGGTGATTTTCCCTTGTTCCTTTTTCTCCATATTTACTATAAAATTGGTAGTTAGATCTAGAGGCTTAATTAGATTTGGATTTAAGTTTTTTTCAGTAATCTATTCTATCCTATATAATAAAAGCCTAATATGCAAGTGTCTGGTTGGCTGTTCAACCAATCGAAGCGTAATATGCTAATGATATGTTAAGGACGCTCAACTGCTCACTATGACGTGCACTGACCACCAGGGGGCAGATGCTCCGACCAGTAAGTTAGCTTGCTGCTGGGGTCCAGCTGATCAGGACTGAGCAAGATGGGCCGGACATGCCCTGGAGCTCTCCTGTGGTCTCTCCCCGGCTGGCCAACCTCCTGTGTCCCTCCCCAGCCCTGATTGTGCACCGGTGGGGTTCCTCGGCCTGGCCTGCACCCTCTCACAATCCAGTACCTCTCGGGGGATGCTGGAGTGCCGGTTTCAGCCCAATCCTACAGGCTAGGCCAAGGGACCCCACTGGTGCACGAATTCGTGCACTGGGCCTCTAGTATATATATAAAAGCCTAAGCAACTGAACTGTTTTACCGGTTACTATGATGTGCACTGACCACCAAGGGGCAGATGCTCAAAGCAGGAGCTTCCCCCTGGTGGTCAGTACACTCCCACAGCGGGAGCCTGCTCAGCTGACTTATGGGCACCAGACGCTGGGCTAACCGCTGGTCAGCACAGCTACTGTGGCATGAGCCTCTCCCACCTCCATGGCAACGCGCTACAGAGCACAGCGGCAGGCTCAGTGGGGCCAGGGTGAGAGGGAGTAGCGTGGTGCCCGGCCCGGGCTCCTCCCCAGCCACCTGCCACTTCAAGCACTACTACATCCCTCAGGGGATGGCAGACTGGCAGTTATGGCCCAACCCCCGAGGATCAGGCTGAAACCGGCAGTCTAACATCCCCCAAGGGGTCCCGGATTGTGAGAGGGCACAGGCCAGGCTGAGGGACCCCATGGGTGCACAAATCCGTGCACCAGGCCTCAAGTACTTTATAATAGTTGTTACCATTTACTTTTTATAAAACAGAAAAGCAAGAAAAAGATGAAAGAAAAAATTCAGAAAAGCAAAAACCTATACAAGCTGCAAAAATAGAAATTTTCTTACTGTTCTGGCCCTGCTATATTTACACTTGTATTGTTACAGATATTAGTTTGTGTGCTGCAGGGCTAATATTGCTTAAAGTAGAGATCTGGTGCACGAGATTCATGCACTGGGGGGCCGGGGGAGGATTCCCTCAGCCTGGCCTGCACCCTCTCACAGTTCAGGACTCCTTGGGGGATGTCCACCTAAGCCGGCAGTCAGACATCCTTCTCACAGTCTGGGGCTCTCGCAGTCTGGGACCCCTCGCTCCTTACCACCCACCTGCAGCGGAGGCAGGAGAGGCTCTCACCAGCCTTGAGCCCAGCTTCTGGCTGAACAGCACTCCCCCTGTAGGAGCGCACTGACCACCATGGGGCAGCTCCTGCATTGAGCGTCCTCCCCCTGGTGGTGAGTGTGTATCATAGCAACCAGTCATTCCGGCTTTTATTATATAGGATAACCCTTAGCAAAGAGCACTGTTAGATTAAGGGTTAAACTGTGAAACCTCTAGGTTTTGTTATTTCTTTTATTTCATTTTTATTGATTTTAGAGAGAAAGGAAGGGAGGGAGAGAGAAACATACATTGATTTTGTTCCACTTAATCATGTACTCATTGGTTGACTCTTGTATGTGTCTTGACTGGGAATCGAACCTGCAGCCTTAGCATATGGGGGCTACACTCTAGCCAGGTCAGGACAGGTTTTGTTACTGATCCTGTAGGTTGTTTTTAACAGTTCAAAAGTATGCTTCTGGATTTTGATAAACTAAGTGACATGGTCTACTTTTTGTATTCTGTTGAACAAAAACAATGCCATGAGGTTAGAGAAGTTTAACCTTGTAGGCCTCAGAAACTAGAATTGAAAACCACATACAGATAATCACAAGAGAAAAAAATACTACTTCTACCTGGAGGCCCCAGACATTTTTGGGAGGAAGTAGCAGTGAAACTGGCCTGAGGGACTTGGAGTTATTTAGATGTTTGGGAGGAAATGGGGCGGGACCTTGGAAATGGAAGGATCCTTATGACCAAAGCAAAAAAAATTCCCAATGATTAGAGTTTCTATAGGGATTCTATGTGGTTGGTTCTTAGGGTGCAAGAGAAGCCTGGAAAGGTAGGTTGGGGTTGAATTACTCTGAAAGCTGGGCTTCATAGGTGATAGTGAACCATCAGAAGAGGGTGTGTGTGCACGAGCACCATTTTTCCCAAGAGCCTGTTATTTCACTTGATTCTTACAAAAGGTAGGCAAGGATCAGATCATTGGACTAATGAGGAAAATATAGATTAGCTAATTTTCCCTAGATACCCAGTTCATGATAGTAATGGAAATAGTAACAGCTAACATTTATCAAGCATTTTCTATATGTCAGGCCCTGTTCTAAGCACTTCATAGACGTAAGGTCACTTACTCCTCCCAGCAGCCATAGGAACTACAGACTGATGTTATCCCCAGTACAGAAGGAGTCTAAGACAGAGCAATGAGGTAACTTACACACAGCTTGTAAGAAGCAGGGCTAGAAACTGAACCGGGACCAGCTAGCTCCAGCCCATGCCTTTAGTTGTTGGTTTCCAAGGTAGCTGGGACTTTTGAACAAGCAAGTGACTTGTGGCTACAGTGCAGGGGTTGAATTGAAGGCAAGACTGAGGATAGAGAGGCCAGAAAGGAGGCTATTGTAATTGTCCAAATGTATGTTGATGAGAGCTTGAGTTAGGCATAGGTATGAGATCTATTTGGGAGATAAAACTAGGGCCTGGTGGGGATAGCACATAGCATATTAGATTTGGCAATTTGCTCATCTGTCTCCTGTGTTAAAATGTAAGCAGTTTGAGGGCAGGGGCTGCCCATCTTGTTCACCAGTCTGTCCTCTATCCTAGCTGCTCAATAAATATTAGTTGAATGACTGAGGAAGGAATCTTGTGACTCCAAGTGTCGATCATTCATTTAGGCAGGGAAGATGGGCACTGGAGCGGGGGTGGGGGTGGTGGAATGTGGCAGAGATGCCGCTTTGGGCCCTGTCGAGTCTGGCAGGTGGTTGAGGGTAATCACAGCAAACGCTGTAGACTTGCTGTGTTCCAGGCACTGTGCTGCCTTTCATATATAGTTGTCTTTGTTGTCCAGAATCAGGAAATGAGTAAATATGGGTAGCAAGGGGATTAAATAATTTAAGCCTCTGTACAAACCCCATGAAATAGGTACTAGCATCATCATCATTACCTTTATTTAGGAGATTAGGAAGCAGAGCCATGGAAAAGGGACGTAACCAGCCCGAGGCCACACAGATAGCTTCAGAGTTGGGCTTAACTGGGCAGCCAGGCTCTAGGCCAGTGATGGCAAACCTTCTGAGCTCGGCGTGTCAGCATTTTGAAAAACCCTAACTTAACTCTGGTGCTGTGTCACATATAGAAATTTTCTGATATTTGCAACCATAGTAAAACAAAGACTTATATTTTTTATATTTATTTTATATATTTAAATGCCATTTAACAAAGAAAAATCAACCAAAAAAAAGAGTTCGCGTGTCACCTCTGACACGCGTGTCATAGGTTCGCCATCACTGCTCTAGGTACTTAATAAGGACAGCTGCTTCAGTAGAGCATAGCGGTCTGTGTTCAGGTCTAGGCCAGACCAGAACCTTCCAGTCAGCAAGCACTCTGTGTAGCACCGTAGAATCAAGTCATGATTCCGTATTCATCACTGTCTTTACCTAGCAAGGCCTATGGGTCTTTATGGGTGGTCCATGGAGACTGGACTGACTCAGGCTGTCAGAGTGCACTCAGATCCCACTGTCCCCCGCCCCCACCCCCCCGGCCCCCGCAACCCCCTCAAGTGGGCTGTGCTCAGAGCAGCCTGCAAGGGCTGTCCTTATGCCCTGCCCTATTCCTCTCTAGACCTCTCGGCTCTCCTTCAGCCACACTGGGTCCCACCCGGTCCCAGAGCAAAGGCGATTTGCAGGGAGGGCGGGGAGATGGTGAGTCTCAGAAAGGAGGTGTCTCCTGAGGGATGGGTAGATTGGAGTTCAGTCATCCCTGTAACTCCATTTCTCTATTTTTTCCTCCTTTCCCGCATGCCTCTCCATCGCACTCCTCTCCCCATCTTACCCAGCCGTGCTGACTGTCGTCACCCACACGCCTACCACTCGAATCCGACTGGGACAGGATGCTCTGCTGGACTTGAGCTTTGCCTACATGCCCCCCACCCCAGAGGCCACTGCATCTCTGGCCCCAGGTCCCCCTCCCTTTGGGCTGGAGTGGCGACACCAGCACCAGGGTAAGGGGCACCTGCTCCTGGCTGCAACTCCTGGGCTAGATGGGCAAACGCCAGCTGCCCGAGATGGGGCAGTGGCATTTGCCGCTTGGGATGATAACGAGCCATGGGGTCCCTGGACTGGAAATGGAACTCTCAGGCTACCTGCAGTGCAGCCCCGCCAGGAGGGCGCCTATATGGCCACCGTACACCTGTCATACCTGCAAGGGCAGGTCACTCTGGAGCTTGCTGTGCAGAGTGAGTTGGGGTCCCCATGGGTAGAGGGTGGGCACTGGGATTTGGGGGGACACCCTGACAGGGGGAGGGACAGTGGAGAAGAGGATGCAGAGTGATTAGGGGGAAATATATTGAGGTCATTGGGAGTCAGAAAGGCAATGGGTGGAGGGTCCCTGGGAATCTGAGGGGCTTTGGAGTGAAGGTTCCAAAATCTGAGGGAATAGGGATCCCTGAGAACCGGGGCTTTGACATGAGAAGTCAGGTGACACATCAGGAAACGGGGATCACCATCCTGGGAGAAGTGTCCCCCCTTAGATTTAGGGAAGCCAGAGAGCAAACAGGGTTTCTGAGGGAGGACAGTGTAGATTGATTCACTCCATGCTCTCTTCCTACTCTCATCCCAGAGCCTCCCAAAGTGTCCCTGACGCCAGCACCTCTTGTATGGGCTGCCCCTGGGGAGGCACCCCCAGAATTGCTCTGCCTTGTGTCCCACTTCTACCCCGCTGCGGGCCTGGAGGTGGAGTGGGAACTCCGAGGCCCAGATGGCAGCATTCAGGAGGCCAAGGGGCATCAGTGGCTCTCAGCCCTGCACCACCACTCGGATGGCTCCGTCAGCCTCTCGGGGTTCCTGCAGCCGGCCCCCGTCACCTCCGCTCAGCATGGGGCCCGCTATGCCTGCCGCGTCCACCACCCCAGCCTGCCCCCCTTGGGGCGCAGCGCTGAAGTCACTTTGGAGGTGGCAGGTAAGAGCCAAGGGGATTGAGAGGGGTGGGGTGCTGGGAAGATGCTTGGAGCTCACTCTCGTCCCTCCTGCCAGGTCGCTCTGGACCATCCCTGGAGGATGGCATAGGCCTCTTCCTGTCCGCCTTCCTACTCCTAGGGCTCCTCAAGGTGCTGTGCTGGGCAGGTGAGTGTGAGCCACCCGGGAAGTCATTCCCTGCTTACTCCCGGAAGCCGCACACCTATCCTTACCTCTCCGTCATCCCATTTCTTCTCCATCTCTCCGCAGCTGTCTACCTGTCTACTTCTAAGAAGTCAAAGGAGAAGGTAAAAGCGCTCCACCTTTGCCTAATTTTTCCCTTCTCATTCCATTCCCTTCCCCCAACTCCTCACCCACGGAGGGAGGCTGCTGGCATGGTGGGCAGAATCTGGCCTTGGAATTCATAGACCTGGGTGAAATCCTGCCGTCTTGAACAGGCTACTTAACCAGCATCTCAGTTATCTCAGTTTCCTTGGGTGTAGGGATAAAAAAAATAATTTAGGCAATGCTGTCCAATAGAAATACAATGCAAGCCACATGTAAACTTAAATAATCTAGTAGTCATATTAAAAGGTGTTGACATGCCCTAACCGGTTTGGCTCAGTGGATAGAACATCGGCCTGCGGACTGAAGGGTCCCAGGTTCAATTCCGGTCAAGGGCATGTACCTTGGTTGGGGGCACATCCCCAGTGGGGAGTGTGTAGGAGGAGGCAGCTGATCGATGTTTCTCTCTCATCGATGTTTCTCTCTCATCGATGTTTCTAACTCTTTTTCCCTCTCCCTCTCCCTTCCTCTCTGTAAAAAATCAATAAAATATATATTTTTAAAAATCTTAAAAAAAAAAAAAGTGTTGACATAAAAAATGTTCAAACCTGTAGAGAATTTTTTTTAAATCTTAAAACTAATTTCTTAAAAATTTGGATGTAGAGAGAGATGAAGGGAGAGAAACATCGATTTGTTGTTCTACTTATTTAAGCATTCATTGGTTTATTCTTGTATGTGTCTTGACCAGAAATTGAGCCGGTAACTTTGGCCTATCAGGATGATGCTCTAACCAACTGAGCTACCCAACCAGGGCTGTAGAGTTAATTTGAACCAAACTGACAATTGTCCGGAAGCAAGGTCTCAAATGCTTCTCAAAATGACAGTGTGCAGCAGCTTTTATGCATTTGGAATTAAGGAGGGAACATAAGGAAGATTCCATGAACGTGGGGGAAAGCAAGGTGGGATCGGATTACAGGATAGTGAAGGGAGCTTATGTGCTTCTAGACGGTGGTTACTATTTCAAAGGTGTGTTGACCTAGATGCACAAAAGCAAGGACAGGGCTGGCTCAAGGCAAAGATCAGCCATTTACTGAAGAAGTTATATGCCTGCGGTGTGACTACCCACCATGACCTGCCCAGTTAGGAATTCATGATCAGATCACCCTGTGAGGCTACTTTCCATATTTTTCATCCAGAAAGAGAAAAAGAAACAGGTAAAATTAATAATATACTTTATTCCATCTGGTATATCCAAAGTATTATTACAACATGTAATCAGTTTAAGAAATTCTAGTGTTTTTACTGTCCTAAGTCTTCAAAAACAGGTGTTTATTTTAAACTGTCAGCAAATCACAATGCAGGCTCACCATGTTCCAAACGCTCAATAGACACGTGGTGGTGGCGGCGGCTGCAGTGGACAGCGGGCCTTCAGGGGCTGCTGGGAGGGCCAGAGGAGAGCGTGCAGCTCCTCTGGAAGACGCGCGCAAGCAGTTGGCACAGTGTCTGCCAGGCAGGAGACGGAATTCGGCTCCATTTTCCTCCCCCTCTGCCAGGATGGCTTCTTTATCTCTGGGTGAGACATGCATGAGCACCTCACCTGGACTTCTAAAACCCTGAATTCCTCACCTCATTTTACTTCTTTTCCAGAAATCACAGTGAGGGCACTCACCATCTGGGGAAGCCACCATCACCTGTCACCTGCTCCTGCTTTCAATCTCTCCACTGAGTGGCTGGAAAGTTGTTGTTGTTTTTTTGGTGTTTGTTTGTTTTTCACAGACACAGATCCATGGCATTCACCTTCTTAGAGTGCTAGGGCAGTGGTTTCTCACAATTTTTATTCTCAGGGCCTCTTAAAAATTATCAAGGACTCTAAAGAGCTTTTGCTTATGTGGGTTACAAACTACAGACATTTGTCATAATAGAACTTAAAACAGGCAAGTTTAGCCCGGCTGGTGTGGCTCAGTGGTTGAGCTTCAACCTATGAACCTGGAGGTCATGGTTCCATTCCTGGTCAGAGCACATGCCCCGGTTGTGGGCTCGATCCCCAGTGTGGGGCGTGCAGGAGGCAGCCGATCAATGACTCTCTCATCATTTATGTTTATCTCTTTCTCCTCTGAAATCAATAAAAAAAATATTTTTAAAAACTGAGGAAAGTTTAAAACAGAAGAATACAGTGCTTGCTTCAGCAGCACATATACTAAAATTGGAACGATAGAGAAGATCCGCATGGCCCCTGAGCAAGGATGACAAGCAAATTCGTGAAGCGTTCCATATTTAAAAAAAACAACACCAAACCCAGAATAATACACAAGCACATTCCATTAGGTTTGAAGGTGATGTAAAATACACATCATGTAGTTTTTGGGAAACTCCACAATACTTTTTATTTTCTTAATCCTCACCAGAGAATGTTTTTTCTCATTGATTTTTAGAGTAGAAGGGAGGGGTAGAGACGAGAACATCATTGGTTGACTCCTGCACAGACCCCGACCCCCACTCCCACCTACCAGGGCCTGATCACCCTCCAACAGAGGTACTGGGCCCCTGACCCGAATGGAACCTGCGGTCCTTCAGTCCTCGGGCCAATGCTCTAACCACTGAGCAACCGGCCTGGGCTCCACAGTACAATTTTGAAAGAAAGAGTTAGAAACGGCAAATCACATCGTAGCATTATGATGAAAGTAGTTTTAACTTCGTACGCCCTGTGTTGCCTCGGGGACCTCTGGGACAGGCCCGCGCTTGACCTGTGCTGTTGGACTGTCCACCCCCTCGGTCCCGGAGCTCGGCTCCCTCTGCCGGGTCCACCCCCGCTCCCCCTGCGAACCCGGACTAGCCCGCCTGGCCCTCCCCGGAGACCCGCCTTCCCCAGGTGCCGTCTCCACGGTCGCGGGTCAGCGTCCGTGGTCTGTCCGCGCCCGGGCTCCGCTCCTGCCCGCTGCTGTGTCCTCCTTGGCCCTGCGCCCGGCGCCCACTGGAGGGCGCTCGGCACACGAGTGTTCCTTTCGCCCTAAATATTGGGAAGCGCGCTGGGCCGAACCCCCGGCCGCTGGCGGCGGCGGCTGGGCTTGGGTCTGATCGCGTGGAATAAAGCTGTTCCCTCACCACCTGTGTCCGGTCCAGTGACTGCGGCCTCCCCACGGCGCCCCGCCCCCTGCGGAACCCCTGGGGTCGGGCGCCCCGCGCGGCAGGCTCCCCGCGGCCAAGGCGGAGGTCCCGGCCGCCCGCCCGCCGGAAGCGCCGCGCGCCCCTGGCAGCGAAGGGACGGCTTCCGGCTCCGCCCCGCGGGCTCTCGGGAAACCCCGGAGTGGACTCCGGCCGCTGCCCGCGTGGGCGGGCGGGGAGTGCGGTCCCGCGGGGCGGAGTAACGGTCCCGCCGCCTGACGCGCCCGCGGGAATCTGTCCTGCTCCTGGGCCCCGGGCTGGAGGCGGGAAGCCACCCCACCTGTGAGGGCGACGCGGCCCCAGAGTCCCGGGCCGGGGCTGGGGAGGGGGCGCGGGGCCGCGGACGGGCCGGGTTCCCGGTCCCAGCCCCCGGCACCCAGCGCTCCCCTCGCCCGCGGCCCTGGCTCCTGTCCTCACTTCCTTCCCTTTTTGGCTCCTGCGCTCGGAGCGGGCGGGCGTAGGGGAGAGCGGAAAGGGCGGGAGGGCGGGAGCCGGCGGGGGACAGGGGGTGCGGAAAGGGCGGGAGGGGACTCGCCCGGGGACCGGAGACCGACGGGAACTGCGGCCCGGACCCGCGCTGTCCCCACCCGCCCGAGCAGGTCAGAGCCAGGGCCCCCGGCGACCCGGCCTGTTCCGCCCTGTGACCCCTCACCCCCGGCGCGTCCGGCCCGGCCGCTCCCGCCGCCCGCTGACCGCCGCCGCTCCTGTCTCCCCAGGCGCCCCCATGGCCCGACCCTGCTGACGCCTCGGCCATGCTCCCGCGGCCCCTGCGGCTGCTGTGGGACACGAGCCCCCCCGGGGGAGTGGTGCTGAGCAGCTTCCGGAGCCGAGACCCCGAAGAGGGGGGGGCCCCCAGTGGCCGGGGCGCGGGCGAGGGGCAGGAGGACGAGGAGGAGGAGGAGGACGAGGTGAGGTGCGGGCGGTGGGAGTGGGGGCTACCGAGGCTCCCCCTGCCTCTCGCCGCCTCTGCCCGGAGTTTCCCCTCCCGGCCTCGGTGATTTCCGCTCCGCCCGCGGCCTGCGCGGAGCCCGGCGTCTGGGGTTCTCCGTGGCCGGACGCGGGCCCGCCCGCAGGAACCGGCCCTGGTCCCGCCGCGAGGTCTGGCTGTCCGTCCCGCGGGCCCGGGCCTCCGCCTCGGCCGGCGTGTCGGCCTCTCTGGGCGCCGAGTTTGGGTCCCGGGCTCCCTCCGGGTGTGTTTGGCAGGGAGGGGTTTGTTTCCATGGTAACCGCTCCTGGACGCTGGGATTGGGGAGGGAGCCCTTCGATTTCGTGACCCCTCCCCCTCTCCGCCTGGCGCCGGGTGGAGGCGGGAAACCCAGGTTTTTGGATCTTGGAGGGACGGTCCCGGGCTGAGCCGGGGAGCCGCCTGCCCTCCCCCGGGGCGGAGTGGTGCCTGGGAGCGGGTGGGGGCGTCCCGAGGGGCCAGACGTTGGACTCGGGGCCCGGAGGCTCTGGACTCAGGGTCCAGGGCTGGGCCAGGGCAGTGACTGGCAGGGCTGGTTTTTCGGGATCGGTTGGGGGAGGGGCTGTAGCCACGTGACTCGAGTCTACCGCCCCCCCCCTCCCCCGCCCCCCATCATCCCCACTTCCCCTTCTCCTTCCTGTACTGGGATGAGAGCCGCCACCTTGGGGGGGTCTCCAGGGACCAGGGGGAAGGGGGCTGAGGGGAGAGACTAACTTCGGGCTCGGCCAGGTCCTTGGGGGAGGGCGGAGCGCGCGGCTGTGCCTGTGACTGAGGCCTCAGCGTCTCAAGGTCTCTGTCTGGCTTTCTGGCTCTCAGTTCCCCTCCTGCGCTTTGCACCCTGCTTCTCTGCTGGGCTGGGCTCAGCTCTGGGGGGAAGGGGCTACGGTGGTCTCCAGGATCTGGGTTCCTGCACTCCACCTGCTCCCCCACCGCAAACCCCTCGACTCCACCGGCCCTGAGGCGGTTTGGGTGGGGCTGTCTGGGCCCCAGTGGGGGAGACCTGGGGTCACCGGCCCCCCCAACCCCTCGCACTCGATGGTACTATCCCCCGCCCTCACAGGTGAGGGGTCAGAGGGAGGCGTAGGGCCGGGGAGAGGGCTGGGGGCAGAGGGTGAGGAGGGCGGTCTGACCTCCTTCCTTACTCCTGCAGGCCCCCGTGTCTGTCCGGGATGAGGAGGAGGATGGAGCCACCTTTACTGTCACAAGCCGCCAGTATCGGCCTCTTGATCCCTTGGTGAGATGATAACTTTGGCTTCTCACCTCTGGCCCATTCCCCCCCGGAAGGGCCAACTGTCTGGCCAGAGTGCTAGGTTGGTCTGGGCCCCGGACTCTGCTGTGTGACTGGTCAATCTTTTGCCCTCTCTGAATCTTAGTACAGTGAGCCTGGTTACCGCCTGGGCCTGGGGCTTCCCCCAGAAACCTCGGGCAGCTGAAGAAGGGCACTGAGGGGCCCTCTGTCTCCCCCAGGCCCCCACACCTCCCCCGCGTTCCTCCCGAAGGCTCCGAGCCGGCACCCTGGAGGCTCTGGTCAGACACCTGCTGGATGTCCGGACATCAGGGGCTGACGTGACCTTCACAGCAACCCTCCTGGCCACCCACCGGGCCTTCACCTCCACGCCTGCTCTGCTAGGGCTCATGGCTGACAGGTCAGGGTCGTAAGGGACCAAGGGTCATAGGGGTGTTGGACTTTCTAAAGCAGAATATCCTACCAAAACAGTCAAAGCCACTGGGGGTTTGGGAAAAAATAGAGACGGGATCTCTTCCTTTCCCCAGGCTGGAAGCCCTTGAATCTCATCCTGCTGATGAACTAGAGAGGACAAAAGGGTGAGTGACCCCTAGTTCTTAGCCTCAAAGTCCCCTCTGCCCAAGCTGCAGCTTGACATCTGACCCCTGGCTGATCCCCCTTCTCCCAGGGTAGCCATCTCTGTGCTGTCAACCTGGCTGGCCTCTCACCCTGAGGATTTTGGCTCTGAGGTCAAGGGTCAGCTTGACCGGCTTGAGAGCTTCTTGCTTCGGACAGGGTATGCAGCAGGGGAGGGTGTTGGGGGGGGCAGCGCTGACCTCATCCGCAACCTCAGGTCCCGGGTGGACCCCCAGGCCCCCGACCTTCCTAAGCCCCTGGCCCTCCCCGGCGATCCCCCTGCTGACCCCACGGATGTCCTGGTGTTCCTCGCTGACCACTTGGCCGAACAGCTGACCCTGCTAGATGCGGTGAGACCCTGACCTGTGACCCCCATGCCCATGCCCCTTACTAACCTTTCCCCGACTCCAGATCCTTTCCTTGCTTCCAACCCTTCCCAACCTCCTCTGTCCACCCGGTTTTGACCTTCCCCGTTTCCCCTTGGTTGTTACCCTTCAAATCCTGTGCCCCTTTGGGTCCCTTGGCCACCTGAGATCCTCACACCCCTAATATTGGAAGGCTGGCTCTCTTGACTATGAACTGTAACCTCTGACCTCTTCCCCACAGGAGCTGTTTCTCAATCTCGTTCCCTCTCAGTGCCTGGGGGGCCTGTGGGGTCACAGAGACCGGCCGGGACATTCCCACCTCTGCCCATCTGTGCGAGCTACTGTCACACAGTTCAACAAGGTGGCAGGGGCAGTGGTCAGCTCTGTCCTGGGGGCTATCTCGACTGGAGAGGACCCGGGGGAGGTGACCATACGGCCACTCCGTCCGCCCCAGAGGGCCCGGCTTCTGGAGAAGTGGATCCGTGTGGCAGAGGTAAGAGAGGAGATTGGCCCTGTTGGGGACCATGGTGTGGAGAGAGATCCCACAGCTGTGGCCTCCCTCTGTGACCCCACAGGAGTGCCGTCTGCTCCGAAACTTCTCTTCAGTTTATGCTGTGGTGTCGGCCCTGCAGTCCAGCCCCATCCACAGGCTTCGGGCAGCCTGGGGGGAAGCAGCCAGGTGGGGAGGATGGGGCACTGGGCTGGGCTGAGTGCTGGGAGCGGGTGCTAAGCCGCTGGTCCTCAACCTGCTGCCCTCCTTCCCCCAGGGACAGCCTCAGGGTCTTCTCCAGCCTCTGCCAGATTTTCTCCGAGGAGGATAATTATTCCCAGAGCCGGGAGCTGCTCCTGCGGGTGAGGCCCTGTTCCCTGGCCTTCCTAGCCATCCCTGCGCCTCCCCCACCCTCATTTCCCTTGTTCTGTCACCCCCAGGAGGTGAAAGGGCAGCCTTCTCTGGAGCCAAATTCCAGGAAGGCCCTGAAGTCTGGCTCCCGGGGTGGGGTGAGTGCTGGGGTGGTTGTGAAGGAGGAAGGAGTGTGTGTGGGGGGGTGCAGTCAGAGGGGTGGGAAAAGGCACAGCTGGGTGAGGACAATTCACTTTGTCCTCTGAGGCATGGGGTGGGGAAGTGCAAGGGCGGGAGCCCTCGGGTCAGTGGCAAGGGTGCCTGACTGACCTCTGCCACAGGGTGTGGTCCCATACCTTGGCACCTTCTTGAAGGACCTGGTGATGCTGGATGCAGCCTCCAAGGATGAGCTTGAGGTCAGTGGTGTGTTCAGTGGGATCTAGAACCAGGGGTTCAGGGTCAGACAGACCTCCCTCCAGGAAGGTGCTCAGGCATGAGCGCTGAGGCCGCACCAGGGCTCGGGCCCGAGCGCCAGGGTTCTGGTTCTGTTGCTTTGATGAGCTGCGCCGCCTTGTTGTGCCCGAGTGACCTGCAAATGGGAAACTAGTGACAGTGTCTACATCTGTTGTGAAGGTTAAATGAATTAATCCTTGGCCAGTGCTGAGAACATGCCTGGAATTTAAGCAGACACGGACTTTGTTAAATGATTGAATACTGGAACTTCGGGCAAGTTCCTAATCCTCTCTGAGCCCTAATTTTCTCTTCTGTAAAGTGGAAAGTTTCTAACCTGAGATACTCAATTTAGAGGGTAAGGAAGGGTGTTAGGGAATGACAGATGGGGGGGTCAGAGAGGTGGGGGGCGGCCAGAGGTGCCTGTGTTTGGGAGGGGCGTGGTTTCCCTGACAGGGTGGGACTCTCACCCCACCCCCTTGCTCTTGCAGAATGGATACATCAATTTTGACAAGCGGAGGAAGGTGAGGGGTGCTTGGGCTGGGTGCTAGATATCCCTCGCCACGTCCCAGGAAGGGGAGAAGGAAGGAGGGGAAGTCGGGACCCCTGAGTTTTGGCTCCTACAATCTGAGGGTCCCTTCCTAGGAGTTTGCTGTCCTTTCTGAGCTGCGGCGGCTCCAGAATGAATGTCGTGGCTATGACCTCCGACCCGACCCCGACATCCAACAGTGGTTACGGGGGCTCCGGCCACTGACAGAGGCCCAGAGGTGACTTGCTGGGTGAGGTTGGGACTTCAGGGCTCAGGCAGGATATGGGGATCATGTGTCACATCCTGACCTCTGCCTATTGTCCCTGTCCCCAGCCATCGAGTGTCCTGTGAGGTGGAGCCACCTGGTACTGGTGACCCTCCTGCCCCTCGAGTGCTTCGGCCCACGCTGGTCATCTCGCAGTGGACAGAGTGAGGGGGTCGTGGCTGGGGGGAGTCTCTTGGGGACTGGCCTTCTTCCTCTGACCCTCCCAACCTCCTGCCACTCCAGGGTTCTTGGCTCTGTTGGGGGTCCTACCCCGCTTGTCTCCTGGGACCGGCCCAATGTTGGGGGAGATGAGGTGCCTGGAAACCCTGCTCCTCTGTTGACCCGCCTGGCCCAGGTGAGCTTTGCTCCTGACCTCTGACCTCAACACTGACCCTGACTCTTGTGAATGTTCTTTCCTTGATCTCCCTGCCTCACACCAGTCCCTCATGTTGTTTGCCCCCAGCACATGAAGTGGCCATCTGTGTCATCTCTGGACTCCGCCCTGGAAAGCACTCCATCCCTACAGAGTCCAGCTGGCCCCAGCCACCTGTCCCCCCCAGCATCCTCTCCTAGGCCTTCTCGAGGTCACCGCCGTTCAGCTTCCTGTGGTACCCCACTCAGTGGGGGTGCAGAAGGGGCCTCCAGGGGGCCTGCATCCGGGGGAGGGGGCTCTGGGCCAGGGGCTTCCGATTGTCGAATCATCCGAGTCCAGATGGAGCTGGGGGAAGATGGCAGTGTCTACAAGAGCATCTTGGTGAGGGGCCGTGGGCTGGGAGGTGGGGGTGAGGATGGTGCTTTGTGGGATCATAGTCTTAGGTTTGAACCCAAATGGGAGGATGATTGTAGTCCTAATTGTGACCGTTTTATTTTAAAGCCTTGTTAGCTGCAGCATCTGAACTTTTGGTGGCCTATTAGATTTTTAGAACAAACAGCAGTTTTCCCCACCGGGGAGCAGCCCTATCTCACTGGGCACGTGAGTTGGCCTGTGGAGGACAGAGGGCCACCACATTGGGTTTCCCTGTTCACGCTGAAGTACTGGAGTGGCTGTGGTTAGAGCAGTAGTTCCCAACCTTTTTTTGGCCAGGCCCCACCTACGCATCTCTAAATCCTGATGCCCCCTCCCCCGTGACATACAATTCCTATTCAAAAAGTGAACTCCTAGTCACGTGGAGGAAGCCTAAAAGGCCATTAACTTGGTCTAAACAAGCTTCCAAAGAACATGGCATCCATGAAAGAGGAAAATAAAAGAATGAAAGGATAGCTGAAGTACTGAGGAAGAAATCACTAAAACTGTTAAAAGATATGAAGTGATATGAAAACATGGCAGTTTCAAAACATAATAGAGAACTGAAGTGCATAACTATGTCACAATATGTATTTATATTAGTGTATATGAGGCCCCTAGAACCATAAGAAATGCAAAAAAGTCACTGTTGATACATTCTCGAATTGCCCCCCTGTGGGGTGTGTGACCCAGGTTGGGAACCACTGGGTTAGAGCGTTGGTCTTCGCACCAAAGGGTCAGGGGTTCAATTCCTGATACAGGGCACGTACCTGGGTTGCAGATTCGATCCCCAGCCCCAGTTGGAGCACGTGCAGGAGGCAACTAATCAATGTGTCTTCTTTCACATCGATGTCTCTCCCTTTCACTCTCTCCAAAAAAAAAATGTATTGGACACGGGTAACCTTTTTTGGTTGGGAGATCAGTGGCTGGGGTTGGAAGGATGGGAAGCAGAGGTCATTCTGGCCAATTTATTGCTCTTGGTTTCCTGTCCTGCCAGGTGACAAGCCAGGACAAGGCTCCAAGTATCATCAGTCGTGTCCTTAAGAAAAACAATCGTGATTCTGCAGTGGCTTCGGAGTATGAGCTAGTGCAGCTGCTACCGGGGGAGCGAGGTCAGAGGAGATGCGGGGGAGTGGTGCCCATCAGTGGGAATGCTTCTACATCCAGGTGGTTACTGGGGGAACAGCTGTTTGAGCTTGACACCTCCTCTCTGAACCTACAGAGCTGACCATCCCACCCTCAGCCAACGTCTTCTATGCTATGGACAGAGCTTCACACGACTTCCTCCTGCGGCAGCGGCGAAGGTCCTCTACTGCTACACCTGGTCTTGCCAGCGGCCCCTCTGCCTCAGGAACTCCCCCAAGTGAGGGAGGAGGGGGTTCCTTTCCCAGGATCAAGGCCACAGGACGCAAGATTGCCCGGGCACTGTTCTGAGAAGGAAGCTCTCATGGCTCACAGAACTCTTGGTGACCACACCAGTTGCGGGTAGCCATGCTGAATGGTGGCAGTTCTATTGCATTGGGAAGAAACCCAGAAAGGTGGCCAGCTACCCTGGGGCAGTGAAGTGCCACTGGTTTGTCAGACAGCCAAGAGCTCCCGCCCTGTGGGACCTGGTAATGACACTGGATACCTGTGTATAACCACCCTTTCCATGAATGCAGCACCCATGTTGTAGCATGCCAAGGGAAGGCCTAAAAGGGGGAGAAGAAAGACCCAGAGGCTCTGAGTCCCAGGAAGAGAGGACGGCAAGAAGTAGGTTCCTGTTCTGGGGGTTCCTGTCACTGTGACAACACTAAAATAAACCAAAACACTACCTGAGTTCTATTCCCGTCCTTGAAGTGTATGAACTAGCTGCTGGGAGGGGAGCTGGTTGGAATCTAGATGGAACATGAAGGGACCCAGCGCTTTCTATCCCAATGAAGATCTGAAAGTGGAGTGTTGCTGAAAAACGGCCCTCAGAATCCTGGTTTATTCCTCCTCAGCAACCTCTCTGTCCCCAGTCCCTTTATTTGCTCTTACATTTTCCTCCCGAGTTGTCACAGACCCATGTCAAGTACTAGCCACCCAGTTAAAGTGATCAGAATGAAGAACTCCCCTGGCTGCAAGTTTATAAGAAACAATTTTAGGACAAAGATATGGAAGAACTTTGTGGGCAATGTACAAACTTAGAGGACTTAGAACATCACAAAGTATGTGCTAGGATTTAAATCAGTCCAAGCTACATTCAAATTCTAACAACTGAGATACTAAAAAGACTAAGAGATGCTGAGGCTACTTGGAGGATAAGAAATCATAGCACTGCGTCCCACCTTTCTTCCTGGGGTCTCAGATGAGAGGACTGAATTAAACGGATCTTCCCACCAACGGTTGGGAATGCCCTCATGTTTCCTAAAGGGGCCTGCCAACCAAGCTAAGTGTTTTATATGCAGACGAGGCTTGAGATATTTCAGATTTTAGTCTCAAGAAAGGATGGGTTACTCTGTCACAAAGAACGATCCCAGTTGCAGGAATTTGGTCTTGAAGTAACAGGTGGTGTGTATACATTAGGTGGAAGGGGCTGGGATAATGGATGAAGACAATTACAACAGAAGTGGCTGGTCAAGCAGCCAGGTGACTTCACATTTTATTAGCTACAGTGTAGACCCTAGAGCTGCCTGGGTTCCCCCTGCCCCAGGACCATAGGTCAGGCCTTGCCAGGAGCCCCTGCCTTGGCCGCCTGCGCCCGCTGGAACTCCTGCTGCAGCTGCGCAAGGGTCTCCCTCTGTTGCTCTGACTGCTGCTCCAGGTCCCGGAGCTGGGATTCGTATCGCTTGCTGAGAAGAGGCAAGAGTGACAAAGGAGCAAATCAGTTAGGGAGACTTATTGAGGATGCTGAAGGCAAGAAAGATCAGTGGACAACTTGAGATCTAGGGCAGGGAGGGGAAGGGGTTGGAGGACGTGGACCCCTGCAGTGGTTCCCAGCACCTCTCCTCGGTGGTGCCAGGCGCATCAGGGTGGGGGACAGACTCACATTTCAGCTGTGATATAGTCCAGTCTCTTGCCTACTGTGGCCCGAGCCTCCCCCAGCTCCTGTTTGACCAGCACGGGGCCCAGAAGTTTAAAGACCACGTTGGACGCATCCAGCAAGGCCAGTTCCTGGTGGAGGCGTGGGGCACAGGACGTCAGCACCCTGGCCAGGACCGCCCCTCCCTCCTTGCCCCACAGTCCCAGTCTCACCTCCTTCACGATATTATTTTCTGTTAGTTGTGCTTCAAGCTTCTGCCGCCCTGACATGGATTTACTCAGGTCTGGGGGTGGGGGAGTGTGGGTGGCAGGAAAGACTTTATTAGAGAAAAGACACGTGCCCCCTGACCCCCACAATCCTAGTCAGAAGAAAACGGGGTGGGAGGCAGTCAGGCCGGGCGGCGCGGCAGGGGTGGGGAAGGAAGCACGGCCTGAGTACGGCTTTGGGTTCGGAGCGCGCGAAGGGGTCAGGGGTCGGGGCGAGGCTGCGCCGACCTCTCCCTCGCCCTTGCCCTTACCCTTCTGCAGCTGCTGGTATTTCTCCACTTCCCCCTGCAGCTTCTTCTGGATCAGCTCAGCCATGGCGGCGGCGAGCCTGCGGGAGAGGGGCGCCGGGTCTCACGCTCTGGAAGGCCCCGCGCTCCCGGCAATGGTCTGGCTCGCGGAGGTGACAGGTCTCCTGAGGGGCGGCCTCTCGGCGCACAGCGGCTTCTCCCTCCGTATCCACACGGCCCAGGCCGTAGCGAGTGGCAGTTGCAACAAGACCCCAAACCGAAACCCCGCCTCACTCTCGTTCTCCCTTCAGTAATTACAAACCCGGAAGTAAACAAAGGATGCTGGGAATGCTACCATCTGGTGCATGCCGGGAATTGTAGTTCAGACGCGTTTAGTAAGCGGCATTCTGCTAAAAATACAAATTTTGAAGATTCTAGGCAAGATGGGAAAACGAGATGGAAAAATCAACCGCACCGTTTCTTGGGACCTGGTCCTGGACTTGCCTTTCTTTCGTTACTCGTGCATAAGCTGCCATTCGGAGGGGCGGGAGCAAGGTCCGCCTGGCCCCTTAAGGGCGAGCCGCCCTCATTCAAGATGGCGACTAAGGCTTCCCACCTGGTACAGCGCTGATTGGATGAGGGTTGGAGGACTTCCGGGAGATACCTGTGCGTCAGTGGGACAGCTGAGAGGAGTTTGCACGTGGATCGTCCGTAGGGTGGGCAGGATGGAGACTGCCCCCAAGCCGGGCAGGGATATCCCTCCCAAGAAAGACAAACTTCCGACCAAGAAAAAGGTAGAGATCTTCCTGGGGCGGAAGGAAAGTTTTCAGGCCCGGGGCCGGAGGGGCGGGGCACGGGCAGCGGACCATCAAGGCTGCTGATCTGCCCGTGGAAACCGCCACGGCCCAGCCGGCCTGATTCAGTGGTTGGGCATTGACCCATGAACCAGGAGGTCACGGCTCGATTCCCAGTCGGGGCACATGCTATGGTTGCGAGCTCGATCCCCAGTGTGGGGCGTGCGGGAGGCAGCCGTTAATGATGGTCTCATCATTGGTGTTTCTCTCCCTTCCTCTCTGAAATTAATCATAATAATTATATATATAAAAGAGACCGCGGCGATACTGGGAGGAAGAGACCACTCCGACCGCTGCCGCCGCCTCTCCAGGGCCCCCTCCTAACAAGAAGAGGAATCGAGAGCTCCGCCCCCAGAAGCCAAAGAACACTCACACCCCAAAGAAGTCTCGCGTCTCCAAGAAGCCCCAGATCGTACAGAAACCCCGGGAACGGAGGGATGCGGAGCCACCGCGGAGCTTGTCGGGGGTGAGCATGGGACCTGACAGGGCAGCGGGGCAAGTCGCCTTGTGCTTTGAGGAGGCCAAAGTTGGGGTCAATCCGAGCCCGTCAACGAATTGCCTCCTCCCTGCCCCAGGCCCAGGACCCATTCCCAGGCCCCGCCCCGGTCTCTGTGGAGGTTACTCAGAAGTTCCGTCGCATTGATAAATCCAAAAAGGTGAGGGCCAGTCTGAGAGCGGGGTTGCAGGCAGGGCTGTCTGGATGAGATGGATGGAGGGGGACCAGGTGGCTCTCTCATGACCTCACATGGTGTCAGTTTTAACCCCGTACCTTCCCCACCACCGATGTTATAGCTGCCACATTCTAAGTCCAAAACCCGAAGCCGGCTTGAGGTGGCTGAGGCTGAGGAAGAGGAAATAAGTGTCAAAGCCGCTCGTTCGGAGCTGCTGCTTGCAGAGGAGCCTGGGTGAGTGGCCCCTGATCCGGGCCTCTCCTGCCCCTGCTTCCTGGGACTGTCCTTTCCCGTGCCCTGTTGGCACACTTACCTCATAGTAGGAAGCTTCACTGCAGCTCCAACGCCCACTTGCAGGTTCCTGGAAGGGGAGGATGGGGAGGACACAGCAAAGATTCGCCAGGCGGACATCGTGGAGGCTGTGGACATTGCAAGTGCGGCCAAGGTGAGCCTGAGGATGGGGACGGGCCAGGCAAGACGAAGTGGGGACTAGCAGGGGGAATTACTGAAGTCAGCCATTTAGTTCTTCATTCTTTTTTAAATTCTTCCCTTGCCCAGCACTTTGACTTGAACTTGCGACAGTTTGGACCCTATAGGCTGAATTACTCTCAGACTGGGAGGTAAGGTTGAATTCTAGTGACTCTGGAAGTGGAATGAGGGCACGTCTCCTTAACCACGTCAGCCAGGCCCACCTCATACCTGTGTATGTTTGGTTGTTGATGTGGGATGTGTCCTGTGATTTGCTTGTGTGTGAGGGTGAACATGTAGGACATCTCTCACCTGGAGAGAAGGGGCTGGTGTGAAGCAGACCTCAAATGGTCTGAGGGTGCTCCCCTGCATTGACACCCTGCTTGCTCCCCACCTTCAACAGACACTTGGCTTTCGGAGGGCGCCGGGGTCATGTGGCTGCCCTTGACTGGGTGACGAAGAAGCTCATGTGTGAGATCAACGTCATGGAGGCGGTGCGGGACATCCGGTCAGTGGCCTGTCCGTCGGGAGTCAGTGGCGGTGAGACAGCCCTTCTTGATTGAATGACAGCTGTGACCCCTTACCCCCTGCTCTGTCCTCCCAGGTTCCTGCATTCGGAGGCACTGCTTGCTGTCGCTCAGAACCGCTGGCTTCACATCTACGACAACCAGGGAATTGAACTCCACTGCATCCGCCGCTGCGACCGCGTCACACGACTTGAGTTCCTGCCTTTCCACTTCCTCCTGGCCACCTCTGTGAGTGGCTGTCAGCACAGGGCCTGGGTGGGAGCCCCTGAGAAGACCACGCCTCCTCTGGCACCCCAGTAGAGGGAGGACAGGGCAATCAGGACTGATTTCTCTCTCACAGTCAGAGACAGGCTTTCTGACCTACCTGGATGTGTCAGTGGGGAAGATTGTGGCAGCTCTGAATGCCCGGGCCGGACGGCTGGATGTCATGACCCAGAACCCTTACAATGCCGTCATCCATCTTGGACACAGCAATGGTGGGTCCCTGGCTGAGATTTGACTCTCTGACCATCCTACCCTGCTTTTCTCCTATATTTGTACTCCACGAGTCCCGTAAAGTTGCCCTTTTACCTTCCTCTCTGGGCTCCTCTTGGTCTAGAGTCGCCATCTTTCCCAAGTTTAATCCCCTCGGTGCCCACTTCGGCTCTTCTCCTCTGACCGCCAGGTACTGTGTCCTTATGGAGTCCAGCCATGAAGGAGCCGTTGGCAAAGATTCTCTGTCACCGCGGGGGGGTCCGGGCTGTGGCAGTAGATTCTACAGGCACGTAAGTCACTTGTTTGGGCATGAGGTGCTGGTGGTCGCAGCTGGGTGGAAAGGTATGGAAGGCCGTGTGTCTTTAAGACTCTGCATCAAGCTGCCTGGGTTTAAATCCTGGTGTCACCACTGACCAGCCATGTGGGTGTGGGCACATTACATAACTCTGTGTGCCATACTTTCCTCACCCTGAGAGTGGGGACATGCGTGTCTAGCTCAAGGGTCAGCAAACTTTTTCTATAAAGAGCCAGGTAGGGCTGGCTGGCACGGCTCAGTGGTTAAGCATCGACCTATGAACTGGGACATCACGGTTCGATTCCTGGTCAGGGTACATGCCCTGGTAGTGGGCTCCATCCCCAGTGTGGGCAGTGCAGGCAGTAGCCAATTAATGATTCTCTCTCATCATTGATGTTTCTATCTCTCCCTCTCCTTTCCTCTCTGAAATCAATATATATACGTACATGTACATATATAGACATATATAAAAGCCAGATAGTAAATGTTTTAGGCTTTTCTGGCCAAGAGGCAAATTCCAGGGTATTATGTAGCTATTTGAATAATAAGAAAAAAAAGTATCACAAATTTTTAAACAATGAAATTCAAAATGTAATAATTGAATGCCATAATTTTTTTTGCTTAATTGATATTCAAAGTTAGTGTTCGAAGTCATCAAACTCGACTGCAAATGTGTATCTGTTAAAGGTGCTCTGTAGAGAGGTTTCACATATTTTATCCTTGAAAATGTCTTGCACACAGGCAGATGATGAGACAGGTGGCCTGGGAGGTGCTCGGAGTGCTGTCCGGTTATAACCGTGTGGCTGCGACTCCAGCAGCAGCGCAAAGCGATCCATGTCAGTGTCTGTCTTGACCACTCTACTGTGCTAATGTAGCACGAAAGCAGTCAATGAGTGAATGTGGTTGTGTTCCAATAAGACTATTTGTGGACACAATTTCCTATAATTTTCTCGCCTTGAAATATTCTTTTTTTTTTTTTTTTTTTTTAGTATATTTCGATTGATTTCAGAGAGAAAGGGAGAGAGAGAGACATCAGTGATAAGAGAGAATCATTAATTGGCGTCCCACACTGGGATTGTGGCCGCAACCCGGGCATGTGCCCTGACCAGGAATCAAACTGTGACCTCCTGGTTCAGAGGTCGATGCTCAACCACTGAGCCACACTAGCCGGGCTTGAAATATTCTTTTGAATTTTTCCCCCAACCACTTAACGTAAAATCATTCTCAGCTGTGGGCATTACGGATCTAGGTGGTGGGCCGGATTTGTTTGGCCGTAGTTTGCTGGTCCTGGGCTGAGCTCAAAAAGCTGCTGTAGGCGGTAAAGTGAGTTCAGGCACATGGAGCTTAGCATGGAGCCAGTGAACAGGGAGCCCCGCCTTCATTGTCCCGTCAGCAACACATGGTTCCCGCTAGGTCTGGCTGGTGTGAGGGCAGGGCGCTGGGTTTGCTTCGAATGTCTGGGCTTCCTGAGAGTATTTGCCTTTCACAGGTGTTCTGTCTGGTGTGTATGTGTGTGTGGATCTGGCGGAGTTTTTCACACAGATTCCTGTGTTTTCTTCTAATTCCTTTCATTCATCAGGCCTTCTTGGGGCTCTGTGCTAAGGTTCGGGCAGAAGGATGAATGGGCCATTGAGCCTGCCTGGGTGCAGTGTTCGTTACACTTTCTTCACAAAAACAGGTGGCAGTAGTTTTCAGGGATGATTGGCCAGGTGAGGCATCTAGTTGCTACTCAGCTGTCTCTGTCACCTCAGACTTGACGTGTCCATCACTGGATCGGACACCCGCCTCCCAGGCTCCTCCTTGCCTGCTCCTTTTCTGCCACATTTTCCTGTCGCGCACAATCTGACTTGGACACCACTAGCTCGCTACACAGCCCCGTGTTCCTTGGCGTCCGGAGGAGCAGAACTTAAAAGCCCTGTTTGCCGAGTGCTGTCTGGGTGCCCAGGCTCTGCTGTTCATGAGCCCCGTGAAGTCCTGACTGCCGGTCCCTCAAAGGTCCCTGCACATCTGCTTCCCTCCATCCTTGCCGTCTCCGTGGGCATGTGTGGTGCTCGCAGCCTGCTTCCAGCCTCAAGCCTTCCTCCTGCCTTGTTCCCTGAGAGCTGTCAGAGCAGCCTCCCCACGGCTGCTTTCCTTTTCCAGCTGCTCAAGAATCCTCTACATTAAATAGAAACTACATACATACCTTTATTTTTAAGTTGTTTGAAAGGAAATCAGGAAAAGGAAAAGCGAAGTGGCCCCCACCTTATGAAAGTCTCCAGGGGCTTGGGCCCCTTAGACTCCCAGAGTTGTATTTTTGGTGCCAAGTGAGTTGGTTCTGTCTCTTTGGCCCCATAGCTGGGTCAGCCTGGCCCGTTCGAGGCCTGTCCCAGGCTGGCTGCCTTCTGAGCTGTAGTTTGCCTTCTGGGGCTGCCTGGGTCAGCTGCTCCTCTCCCGGGGCTTAATGAGCTTGTTCACTGAGCTTTGCTCAACACCAGTGCAGAATGGCTCCGGTGTCTGACCGCAGGTTCAGCCCCAGGTCCTCTGCAGGGGCTCCAGAGATGAGGCTCGCCTCTTCCATAAGAGGCTTTCTGGAATCCGTGGTGATTGGATTCTCAAAGCTGGACTGTTTACCACGCTTAGTCACATGGTAGCGTAGCCTGGATGCCCACCTGGTATTTGCAGATATTCCCAGAGGTGGGTGAGGAGTCAGGATGTGCCCGGATTTGTTGGTGCACGGAAGGGTGTGGCCCTGTGTCCCAGGAGCCCTTTGGGGGAGCTGGGCCCTGATAGTCTTGTCAGAAGTATCCAGCTGGGCCTTTGCTCTTAGGAACTCTCAGTCCCCTCCAGGGCTCATAGCCACAGCTAGAGAGAGCATCCTTGGCCCTTTGCAAACGTGCGTCTCCTGGTCTGGCTGGTTCCTCTCCAGCCTCCCTCGCTGAGGAACTGCTTGAACGTAGGCAGAAAGGCCAGCCTCTGACAATAAACGAGTGCAGTGCCCGATTCCTTGAGAGGATCTGGTCAGCCACCTCGCCCTCCTCTGGGGAAGAGGGTGGAGTAGGGCCCTCTGGCACATGGCTTCCTAAGGTTTCCTCAGGTCCATGCAGTCTTCCGTGGTGGCTTGTGATGGCCAGAGGGCCCGGCTGGGGCGTTGGATCCCAGTCTGACTTGACAGCCCCTGCAACTTGTCCCCTGCTGACCCTCCTGGCCTGTTTCCTGCCAGTCCTGGAAACACCCGCCCCCTCCCCCTCTCCTCTCCGTTCACCCATTTGTACCTGCTGTGTCTGCTTCTGCTTTCTTTCTTTTTTTTTAATATATTTTATTGATTTTTTACAGAGAGGAAGGGAGAGGGATAGAGATTTAGAAACATCGATGAGAGAGACACATCCATCAGCTGCCTCCTGCACACCTCCCACTGGGGACGTGCCCACAGCCAAGGTACATGCCCTTGACTGGAATCGAACCTGGGACCTTTCAGTCTGCAGGCCGATGCTCTAGCCACTGAGCCAAACCGGTTAGGGCTGCTTCTGCTTTCTTGAGAATTGCTGGGAATGGCTCAAATCCCAGTCTCCCCAGGAAGGCCTCCTGACCACTGCAGTCCGTCCGCCCTCCCCTTTGCTGAGCCGCCGTGTTGCCTGTCTGTGCAGTGGAACATCACATTTAGGTACACGTCATGGGCATTCTCTCTTTGGTTCACGTCTTGAGTACGTTAGAGGGCAGATACTAAAGAATAGGCCTGCCTTGAATCCTAGCTCTACCTCTCACCCTGCTTTCCTTCCTCTGAGCTGTTTCATTTGTAAAAAGGAAATCCCACATAGTACAGAGTTGTGTGACATGTGACCAGGAGGCTGTCTGCAGTGTTCGTTGTGATGGTTGTGGTTACCATCAGTCTTTTTTATCCCCAACCAAACTTGATGCCGGGACTCGGCCACAGGCCTGCTCAGTAACCCCTCACTACAGAGTAATTGGTCCTCCCTGATCCCCCAGGTACATGGCCACCTCTGGCCTGGACCACCAGCTGAAGATCTTTGACTTGCGAGGGACGTTCCAGCCTCTGAGTGCTCGGACCCTGCCCCAGGGAGCGGGGCACCTGGCCTTCTCCCAGCGGGGACTGCTGGCCGCAGGAATGGGTGATGTGGTCAACATATGGGCAGGGCAGGGCAAGGCCAGCCCACCCTCCCTGGAGAAGCCCTATCTCACCCACCGGCTCGCGGGCCACGTGCATGGCCTTCAGTTCTGCCCCTTTGAAGATGTGCTGGGGGTGGGGCACAGTGTGGGCATCACCAGCATGCTGGTCCCTGGTAAGTCGGCCAAGGGGTGGGCCTGAGAGAGCCGGGAGCAAGGGGTCTGGTCAGGCTGGAGTGCTGAGCTGGATTCTTGCTTATGGCTCCACGCTCTTCCCTCCCTCCAGGGGCTGCTGAGCCCAACTTCGACGGCCTGGAGAGTAATCCGTACAGGAGCCGGAAGCAGAGGCAGGAGTGGGAGGTGAAGGCCCTGCTGGAGAAGGTGAGGATGTGGGGCTGGGGCTGGGGCTGGGGCAAGCTCTCCTACTGGGGGTCTTGGAAAGAGCTGGATTCAGCAACCGCCTGGCTGCAGTCCCTCTTTGGGGTCACTCTCCTCACCCATTCCTGTCCCTCTCTCTGTGACACCTCCAGGTACCTGCAGAGCTCATTTGTCTGGACCCGCGAGCCCTGGCAGAGGTTGATGTCATCTCTTTGGAGCAGGCCAAGAAGGAACGGATAGAGAGGCTGGTAAGGAGCAGACCCGAGTCCCAGGCACACCCTCACCCACCACATCCAGAAGTGTGGTCCAGCAGGTGGGTGCTGCCACAGAGCCCTGTCTCCGAGGCTGTTACAGACTTCACTCCTGTCCCCTGCCCCAGGGCTACGACCCAGAGTCCAAGGCTCCCTTCCAGCCAAAGCCGAAGCTGAAGGGCCGAAGCTCCACAGCAAGCCTGGTGAAGAGGAAGAGGAAGGTCATGGACGAGGAACACAGGGTAAAGGAGCATTTGGGGGTGGGCCAGGCCTCCCACGGGCTGTACCCTCCTGCTGGTGCCTCTGTCCTTGCCAGCCTGCCACTTCACACTTTGCCCCCTATCTTCCCAGGACAAAGTCCGACAGAGCCTTGAGCAGCAGCCACAGAAGCAAGAGAAGGCGGCCAAGCCCACGGGGGCCCGGCCATCTGCCCTGGACAGATTTGTGCGCTGAGCCAGGCTCCAAGATGGCCTGGGAACAACACTCTCTCCCCAAGATCACCTGTGGGGGGAATTCCTGTTCCCTGGAATGAGGAGGGGCAGGTGCCCCTTCCCCAACTGGGAATAGACAGCGGGCTCCTGGGGTGGGTGGGTATTAAAGAAGAAAGTGAAGTTTTTGGATAATGTGTCTGGATCATCCTGTGTACTTGTCCCCTTCCTTTGCCCAGCCTGGGCTGCTCTAGGCTCCAATGGTCATGTGTCCCGCCCCCACCCCCACCCCCACCCCATCTCGTGGTTGCTGTGGCCTTATCTTTGCTCTTTAGGGGTTTTTCTCCTCAAAGAGGCTGTGAGATGTGCTTCCCACCCGGCAGGGGCTGGCAAGGCCCAGGCTCCCCAGGTTTGTGTGCCAGGACTCCTGGTGCGGACCACACTGCACTCGAAGTAGAGAGACAGATTTATTGAGGGGCTCCTGCCCCTCTCCTGCCATGGATGGGGAATGACCGCAGCATTGCTTTACTCTCCTGATGACCATCTTTGGGGCTGGCAGGCCAGACCCTGGGTTTCCCCTGTATCCTTCAGGCTTCAGTGACAGACTGAGCGTCTGGTGTCAGGAAACTGTCCAGTTGCAGCCAGATGCCTTGGGCCCGGGAGAACGGTGGGGGAGCTGGCTGGCCCCTCAGCTCCTCACTCCCGCCATGGCCCGGGTCCTCAGCTGTGAAGCCAGGCTATCACCCGGCACCGCAGGATGCCCAGGACTCCCTGGAGCCAGGAGCAGAAGGGCGCAGTCCTTTCCCCAGCGGAGCCGCCCACCAGCCTCCAGGCTTCCTGCATCTTCCAGGGGTCCAGCCTGTGGGATGTCAGCAAGAATTTCCCATAGCAGCACCGGTCCAAGGGATAGTGGGTGGCACCAGCCAGCTTGACACAGTGGGTTGGGGTGAGGCCTCCCCGTCGGGCACTTACCCCCACAAAGACATCTTCCAGTGGCAGAGGGGGGGCCCGGCTGGCCACTTTGAGGATGAGCTGCACAGCGGAAGCTGACAACACATATCCAGTGCCCGAGGCATAGGGTGGGAAAGGGCCCCAGGTGGCAGGCCACTGCTCCTCCGATATTTGGTGCTTGCTCCCTGGAGTCCGAGAGGGGTGCACCCGCCAGTGCACACGGCCCAGGTACAAAAGAGGCATGGGCTGACTCACCAGGGTGGGGCGGCCTCCTTTCCACTCTCCATCTCCAGCCCCAGCCTCTCCCTGGGGCTCCATGCCCCTCTCCCATTGCTCCCAACGGCCCCCTCGCCGGACCAGCTCTGATACCAGTTCCGGAACGTTGACAAACACATCATCGTCGGTCTTGAGGATGTAGCGGGCCATGGGGCAGTGTTTGTCCGCCCAGCTCAGCCCGCTGAGCGTCTTGAGGGTCAGGTTGCGGTAGGAGTCGTGGAAGGCCGCCTGCAGTATGTCCCCCTGGGCCACTGACTCCCGTTCCAGGTCGTTCTCATGGGAGCCCCAGGTGGGATGCCGCCCGCCGGGCTCTCCCAGGAGAAAGAGAGTCTGCACCCTAAGCCCGCGGGCCTCGCGCTGCCCGCCCCACGAGGCCCGAATGGCGTTTCTCTGGTTGAGGTTCTCGGGGGCCGTGCACACCAGGATGAGCAGGAAGGGAGGGGCGCCGGGGCCACGGCAGGCGTCCTCGTTGGGGATCAGGAGACGCGGCAGGGCCAGGGGCGGCCCTGGCGAGGCCGGTGCGGGGAGCAGGGAGGCTAGCGAGAGGCTCAGCAGCTCCTCCCCGAGGCCCGAGGGCCCGAAGAGGGTCCAGACAATCGCTAGCAGCAGGGCGGCGAGGAGCAGGCGCCGGAAGAGGCTGAGGGGCATGGCGTGGCGCAGTCAGAGGGAGCCTGGCGGGGGAGATGGAGGGCGGTTGGAGGGCGCGGAGCCGGCTCTCGGCAGCCCGAGTCCACGCCGAGGCTGGGGCGAGCGGAGGCGGCGGGCGGTACCTGCGCCATAAGGTGCGGAGACTCGGACGCGGGAGGCTGGGGCTGGAGCTGCGGGGAGGTTACCTGGTCGCTGCCCCGCCACCGCGAAGCTCCGCTCCATGGCTGGCTGAGCTGCCCCGGCGCCTCCCGCCGGCGCGGAGCTGAGCGGCAGTCCCGCCCCTTCCCGGGAGGGTGTGGCTCCGCGCGTTCCCAGCCCCCGCCCCAGCCCCAGAGGGGCACCTTCTGGGGACCGGAAAGTCATTGGACCAGCGCGTGCTGACGTAGATCTTCCTCCCAACCACGTGTTAGCTCCGGGCGCCGAGACCCTCAGTTCCGTATCAAAGAAATTGCACCCCGCCCCCAACTTAACACCCCGAGTCCCATACTGTAGAGACCTAGGATGGCCAAAACCTGCAAAAACTCACCGGACCTGCAGACTCCAACTACCTGCACCTCCACTCCAGCCCCAGGGAAAACTGGTTGGGCTCCCCCTACAGGCTGAGTGACTAGCCCCACCTCCTCATACCTGAAGAGGGTGGGAAGGGAGGGACACCATTGCTTAAACCAAAACCAAGGACATTGGGTAGCTGGGTGGGTACATCAGTGCAGACTTGGGAAAATGACCAACAGGGTCCTCATGACAGCTAGCATTCCCTGGCAATGTCCCCAGAAGAAGCAAGAAGTCACAAAGGAAGCCATAGGTGTATAAACTATTTATTAACAGACGAGGCCTACAGACTTATTTCTTCTTGGACACACCCACAGTGCGACCCCGGCGGCCTGTGGTCTTGGTGTGCTGGCCTCGAACACGAAGACTGTGGGTGAGAAGAGGATCACAGGTCATTCACATCACACAAAACAGGGAAGAGAAGGCAGCTCCAAGGGGAAGGAGACCTCCACCCAGACTCACCCCCAGAAGTGGCGCAGCCCTCTGTGGGCCCGAATTTTCTTCAGCCGCTCCAGGTCTTCACGAAGCTTGTTGTCCAGACCATTGGCCAGGACCTGGATTGAGAAGAGGGTGAGGGATGCTTCATTACCCCCAACCTCCACTGCCCGGCCTTTCTTCACGCTCATCTCAATACACACCTGGCTGTATTTCCCGTCCTTCACATCCTTCTGTCTGTTCAAGAACCAGTCTGGAATCTTGTACTGGCGTGGGTTCTGCATAATGGTGATCACACGTTCCACCTGGCAGGCAGGACACAGGTCAGATCCCGATGGCACCATTCTGAGGCAGGCCCAGCCCACAGGCCCCCTTCCGGGTCCTCACCTCGTCCTCTGTGAGCTCTCCTGCCCGCTTGGTGAGGTCGATGTCTGCTTTCCTCAACACCACGTGAGCATATCTTCGCCCTACACCCTGAGAGGTTGTGGAATTGGGCTGGAGTTATTTTTTTGGTTTCCTTTATCACCCCAGTTGCTAAAAAAAGCAAAGTTAGGGCCTGCAACTGTCTAATGCCGTGGTTGGCAAACTGCGGCTCGCGAGCCACATGAGGCTCTTTGGCCCCCTCTGAGTGTGGCTCTTCCTAAGCCTTAGGAGTACCCTAATTTAAGTTAATAACAATGTACCTACCTCTATAGTTTAAGTTTAAAAAATTTGGCTCTCAAAAGAAATTTCAATCGTTGTACTGTTGATATTTGGCTCTGTTGACTAATGAGTTTGCCGACCACTGGTCTAGTGCCTGCTCACATGACCTGTACCTCACCCACTTTTCCAGATAAGAAGCGTAACGATTAAGTAGAAGAGGAAAATAGTTTTGTTCAGGCGCAGGGCTGGACCAAGAACTTGGGGCAGATATCACCTGGAAAGCAGGAACGCCTTTCATATTGCCCAGCATGTGCACTTCCTGATAAACGCTGGCTATCAGACAAAGCAGTGGCACAAAGAGCCTGGCACTTGAAGCTGATACAGGTTCAAAGCAGGTCTGTTGGTCAGCAGGCTTGATCAGATAGGGCTGTCAGCTCCTGGAAACTTTAAAGGTCTTTGGACCAGCCACTGCATGCCATGATCAGTGTTATGTATTAATTTTAGAGAGGAAGAGGGGGAGAAACATCCATTTGTTGTTGCACTTATTTATGCCCTTACAGTTGTTTCTTGTATATATCTTGATGGGGGACTGAACCCACAATCTTGCTGTATTGGGACGCATTCTAATCAACTGAGCTACCTGGCCAGGGCCACAATGATCAGTTTTTAAAGATCACAAGCTTGATTCTGTCGGTACTCAAAGTTGACCAGGCCCTAGAGAACTTATTGCCCACATCAAACTTACTGGTGGCATCATATAAACACCAACCAAACAGATCTGGACAGTGAAGGATGGTGACCTGGGTTCAACAGTGCCCCCCACCCAATGTATTTCCACCCAGAATCTCACATTCGGAATCTTTGAAAATATGGTCAGAATGAGGCTATACTGCATCAGGACACCCCTAAATCCAATGACCCTATCTCACTAAAGGAGAGGACATGTAGACAAAGAGGAAAAGCCATGTGATAACTAAGTCAAGAATTTGGAGTGGTGTGGCTGTAAGACAAAGGAATATTGAGGATTGCTGGTGACTACCAGAGGGTAGAAGAGGAAGACAGGATTCCTTGAGCCTACAGAGGGAGCATGCCCTGTGGACACCTTGATCTTGGCTATTTGGTCTACAGAACTGAGACCAGGTTCTGCTGTTTTAAGCCAAATCCGTGGTAACCTGTTACAACAGCCCAAGGAGAGTTGGTATTTCCTCTGTAAGAAAGTGACCTACGGCCCTGGCCAGTGTGGCTCCATTAGTTGGAGCCTAGTCCCATGTACCAAAGGGTCTCAGGTTCAATTCCCTGTTAGAGCACATGACCCGGTTGCAGGTCCCATCCCAAGTAGAGGTGTGAATGGGAGGCAACGGATTTCTCCCTCCCTTATAAAAAAAAAAATAAACCCTCAGGTATATTTAATATGTGCAGATAAAATAGTATATGTTTGAGATTTACTTTAAAATATGCGTGGAAAGGGCATAGATGAAACAAGATTTTTAGTTTTAGCTAGATGATACAGTAAACACCTCGATTTTATGGACACTGATTTAATAGACTTCGGATTTAATGGACAAAATTTCCAGTCTGTATGTCATATATGAAAATGAACACCCTATTAATAACCAGTATCAACCTATAATTAAAACAGGTTGTTATTCAGTTATTTTTAACAAAATGTAGCAAGTAGGCCATACAGTTGGAAAAACACTAGTAATTTCACTGACAAACATTACATAGCCACAATTAGTCTACATATTTAAGTCCAAGTTTCACTGCTTGTAAACTATGTTCAGGGAATGATTAGCACATCATCACACTGCATCGTATGAGATAATTGGTTCTATTGTCGTGGGACTTCATGCAGCAGTTTTTAATGTTTTTATTGATGTTAGAGATAGAGGAAGGGAGGGAGAGGTAGAAGTGAGGAGGGCTACTGCCCCCTACTGGGACCAGCCCACACCTGGACATGCCACACCAGCCAGGGCTCTGCAGTGGTTCTAACTCGTGCCAGGACAGGTGTTCCCCAGCCGGTGCATTTGTTTACTCATGGTGATTGCTGAACACACACACTTACTAGACCTATTAAGTATAAACTTAAAATCACAGTAAAACATAAAAAACTGTGAAATTAAAGTTTTCATACCTAATTTTAATTGCACAAACGTTCCTACATAAGTAAAAACAGGTAAACCAGATCCACAGTTGCCATCTTTTCCATCCAGACTACACTACAGGGAACAGTCATGTTTGTAGTCCAAGGGCCTGGACCACGTTATAGAAGAGCTAATACTCTGAAAGCATTTAGAGAAGTACTGCTCACAGGGACACTGGCATTTTGGCAGGACAAGTGTTCCTTATACTACCCAGTCATTAGTAACCCAGATGAGTTATCCCTGATTTAGAGGAAGAACAGAAGACCAGGCAGCCCTAAAGGACACCCATAGCAAAAATCTACAAGCGGAGGTAAAAACCCCAGGAAGGGAAAACAGCAGAGAAATTGTGCAGGATCTTTATTACCTCTCAACACACTCTTCTTGCTATCTTCCATTCCATTCCTCACCCTTCCCGTAATTAACTGTGCTGACCACTTTAGAAGAACCCCTCCCTCCACTCAGGCTGCCTTTCCCCATCCTGGGTCCTTAACAAAAGACCAAGCTTTAGTTCTCTTACCAGAGGAAGAGCTAGCTGCCTTTGCTGGCTCTCCACAAAATTAGCAAAAACCTCATCTATAGAAATAACTTTCCCAATGATAAGCAGGGCATCAGGACCCCTAGAGAGACTTCATTCAGTACCTGAAACTGCTTCGGTGGTGCTGTTCTTTCTAAGTATATTTTTATTGATTCCAGAGAGGGAGAGGGAGAGGGAGAGGGAGAGAGAGAGGGAGAAACATCAACCATAGATTGGCTGCCTACTGCACGCCTCCTACTGGGGATCAAGCATGTGCCCTGACCTGGAATCAGACCTCCTGGTTCGTGGGCCCTCGCTTAACCAGTGAGCCAACACCGGCCGGGTGGGTTGTTTTAAGTTGACAAGTTATAACACAGATTTAACTAATGAGTGCAAAACCAACTAATTTTGAAGAGGCAGTTTAACAGAAGCACCCCATTAACCACAGCCACCCTTTACCATTCATTTGTCTCATTACAACCCTTCGAAAAGGAACTTCTGTACTTTATGCTGCCTTACTAGTTCCCCACAACAGAAGCAACCTTCTTACAAAGGGTAAGCTATGCTCCCTGCAGTACAGAATTAAGAACCAAGGGAATTTGATGAACCTAGGATTTTAGTTTTAAACTCATCAGTTTCCTTCAAAATTCTCTGAAACCAGGCAAAAGCATCCCTGATAACATCCATGCCCTAATACTGCTTGAGCACCTATCACACAAGCTGGGAACTGTGAGGAGACAGGACTGGCTCCAACCCTGGTGCACGCACATCCTGATGGGAAAAGTAGTCATTCAGCCATCTCCACACTAATCACAAGTATTCCAGAGAACAAAAACAGAATGGAAACATGCCCCCCTTTGGCTCCAAGAGTCCGTTTGGTGAAGGGAGATACCCCAGCTTGCATTCACCCACTTATTTCACGAAAGGAGCCAAGTACTGGTTCCTGCTTCAGCTGGACAGAGGCAATGACTTTCACCTCTGGAAATGTGAGGAAACATCCTGCTCATGATGTAGTGACATCCCTCCCACCTATGTCCCTTCACGCTTGGGATCTGTTGGCATGTCTACCCACCCAAGATGCACAATTATCCGATTTATGGGGCATAGAAATGTCACAGGAAGGGCTGCTGTTGTGATGCACTGAGGGAAGGAGGCACAAACCAAACCCAGGATGACCTCCAGATGAGGGCTGAGGGCCCAGGAAAATCCTGGCGAACTCATGTAGACAAATCCACTCCCCACCCCCGGGTGAACTCTTCGGGCCTGACCTGACTTTACCTTCCGGGTGAACGTGGAAAGGGGCTCAGGGTTCCCCAGCAGCTGAGGTGACCTGGTTGGGGCTTGTTTCACCTTGCCTCACTTACAGCTTAGGTCTTAACCACCTCAGCCTCGTTTACAGTCTCCACTCCTCGCCCTCCTTTACCTTAATTGCAGTGATGGCAAAGGCTATTTTCCGCCGCCCATCGATATTGGTGTTGAGTACTCGCAAAATGTGCTGGAACTTCTCAGGAATCACTAGAGACTGGCAGAGATTGGGGGAGAAAGCAAACACCGTGAACTAGCAAATCACAACCTGACAGGAACGTTAAACTCGTCACACAGGGAGCCAGGTGCCCCCGCGGGTTTCCACCAACTGCAAACTCCTTAGTCCTGCGGACACAGGAACGGGAAGCGTTGGGGTTGGGGCAATGCAACCTCTGGGAGAGGACAAATCTCCTGCCTGTCTGCAAGGTACTCTGAGTGCGGAGGCAGCGGTCCCCCCGCACGCCCAAGCCTTTCGCTGCTTTCGAGCGCCCGGGGAGCGACTCTTCCTCCGGCCCCACTGCCCAGAAACGGAAGTCTCTAGTCGTTCCTTCCCAGGGCGCGATCCAAAGTTCCACACAGAAAGTTGCAGGCCCCTAAAGCGGGGCGTTTTCGGCTCCCTGATAGCAGACCTTCCCTGCCCGGTCCGATGTCGCCGGATCCCCGGACGGATTCGAGTCTTACCATGGCGGCAGCGGCGTGCAGGCCTCCTGTGGAAAAGAAAGCGGAAGTTACGTAATAGTCTTATATAGCGAGCGGGCGGAAGGGGCGGGGTGATGTTGGTGTAGCTTCCGGAAACGGCTTGTGCCGGCGTCCACTAGACTTCAGAGTTTGAATTAGCTGCTACAACTTCCGGCGTGCTCTCTTCACAGCTCGTAGCGTTCTGGGGGGTGAGAGCCGCGAAGGTTCCGGGTGAGGTTGTGCCGAGACGTGCGCTTCCCACCCGTCCCCGGTGGAGTGGTTGGCGCTCCCAGGGAGGCTGGCCCGGCACACTGAGCGCTGGTACCTGGGGACGGTTTCGCGCTGTGCCACGCGCTCGGGACGTGTAGTTCCACTCGGGAGGACGGGCTCGCGCGACTGACAGCTGCCGGAAGTGAGGCTGCGCGAATGGCCGCCGCTGCCACCATGGCGGCCGCTGCCCGGGAGCTGGTGTTGCGGGCCGGGGCCTCAGACATGGAGGAGGAGGAGGGCCCGCTGGTGAGAACGCAGGGCTTTTTCTCCTCCGGAGTCGCGCTCGGTCGTGCTCGCGTCCAAAAGGCCCGGGCTGGGTTTCGGTTCGGGTGGGAGCTCGGCGGCGGCCAGAGGGGCGCTCCGCAACCCTCCCTGGAGTCGGGCCCGAGCCTGAGCAGGGACCAGAGTGGTCGGCTCCAATTCCCGGGGCACAGTTCCAATGAACCTCCAGATTTGGGGGCAGAATGGTGCTGTCTGAAGGCTAAGAGCGTGGCCTCGGGGCAGATTGCCTGTGTTTTAGTCCCAGCTCTGCTGCTCACGCTGCGTGTCCTTGGGCAAGTTAGCTACCTCTGCCCTCACTTTCTATACCTGTAAGGTGAAGGAAATGGTAGGACATGCTGTTACAGGCGAGATTCCAGGGGAAACTGAGGCAGAAACATTAGGACAAGGCCAAACAGTGTGAGTAATTTGCAACTGGCCTGCAAATAAACCACTGTCTCCCCAGCCACGGACTCTCATAATGGATGCAGAAAGCGAGGCGGAAAGCAGAAAGGAAAAAAGGGCACTTTTACGCCCTAAGCAGAGAAGCCAGCAGTCTCAGGGCTCGGCAAGATAAAGTTGCCAGGATTCTGGGAAGCCCACAACAAGAAAACCTTGAGGCTTAACCTGAGCCAAGATATTCAGCAAAAGAATCTTTTGAAACCTACAGACAGGAGGAGGGCATATTACTCCTCCAACTTGCTCCAGACACTCGCTTTTCCGCGTTATCCGGGAAAGCCCATCTGTGCTCCCAGCCGAATGAGATGGATTTGCTTGCTTTGCTTTCTCAATAAAGGTGCATGCTTTAAATGCTTTAATAAATTGGCTGTTTACAGCACAGCCAAGGTCTTCGTATAGATTCATTTATATGAGAAGACAAGGATCAAGGTTGGGGACAGTCCTCTCCCACTAGTTCAGGGGCCTCTCCTGTCTGGTAACCCCTCTCTGGTGTCGGTGAGAGGGGCCTATAACACTACAATATAGGTTGTTGGTTAGATCAGTGAGTATATTTAAGATGGCACCTGGCATGCAGGTGAACACTGTTAGCTGACATTTCTAGGAAAACTGGAGCTCCCCGGAGGGATTGTGATAGAACACCTAAGATAGCAGAAGTCTGGGCTCCTAAATTCAACGGCAAGTTCTGCTCTGCCCTCTGCAACTCCTGATTGTCCTCATCCATTCTCTGTGGATTGCCTGGCTCCTAGTCGTATTCCCTGCCCATCAGCCCCAACTCATACACTGGGTACAATGTGAGACTCTTGGAATTTTTCACTCAGTACCTATGGCTGCCCAGTTACAGTTCCTCCCTCCCCCTTGAAGGATTAGGGATTATTCCATTATATACATATAATTATATGTAATTATATATATAAAGGGATTATTCCATTATATATATTTATATATATATATATATATATATATATATATATATATATATATATATATTTGGTTTGTGTTTTGTTAATCCTCACCTGAGGATATTTTTCCATTGATTCTTAAAGAGAGTGTAAGGGAAAGAGAGAGACAGAAAACATCGATATGAGCCCTAGCCTGTTTGGCTCAGTGGATAGAGCGTTGGCCTGTGGACTGAAGGGTCCCAGGTTTGATTCTGGTCAAGGGCACATGCCCGAGTTGCAGGCTTGATCCCCAGGAGGGGGCGTGCAGGAGGAGCCAGTCAATGGTTCTCTCTCATCATTGATGTTTCTATCTCTCCCTCTCCACTCCTCTCTGAAATCAATAAAAATATATTTAAAAAAGAAAACATTGATATGAGAGAGACACATTGATTGGTTGCCTCCCACATGTGCCCCAAGTGGGGCTGGGGATCGAGCCTGTAATTGAGGTATGTGCTTTTTTTTTTTTTTTAATGTTATATATTTCAGAGAGAGGAAGGGAGAGGGAGAGAGAAATAAAAACCTGCATGATGAGAGAGAATCATTGATCCCCTGCCTCCTGCACACCCATTGCTGGGTATCTAGCCTGCATCCTGGACTGGGAATCAAATCATGACCTCCTGGTTCATAGATCAGTGCTCAACACTGAGCCACACCAGGGAGGTATGTGCTCTTGACTGGAATTGAATCCAGGACCCTTCAGGCCTTGGGCCGACACTCTATCCACTGAGCAAAACCGGTTAGGACTCCATTATATTTTGTTCTTCCCATTTCCCCCTGTATCCTTTCTCATTAACTTATCCCTCTCCAGGGGGGCGGTCCTGATCTGCAGGAGCCGTTGCAGCTTGGAGTGTTGGACATCACCTCCGATGAATTTATCCTGGATGAAGTGGATGGTGAGTGATGGCCCAGGGTGGATGCAGAGTGCCTGCAATCTGAGAGGCATGGGGGCTGGAAGTAACAAGGCAGGGATTGGTGTGCAGATGTTCACTGTGGGGAGAGGGAGCTGTGAACTGAACCTTTATAATAAACTTTTATTTCCAGTTCACATTCAGGCAAATCTGGAGGATGAGTTAGTAAAGGAAGCTCTTAAAACGGTGAGGCTTTCTGCTATACTAACCTGCCCTCCCCCACACCTCCCCTCCCCTTGAAGGAAACAGTGTTTTGTGCTTAATATCCTGGTGTCTTACCCTCTAATCCTCTGTTGATTCTGTTCAGTGTCCCCTCGCTGTGACTTCCTTTTGAACTGTAATGTCTGTGTTCTCCCAGGGTGTGGATATCCGTCACTATTCAAAGCAGGTTGAGCTGGAGCTACAACAGATTGAGCAGAAGTCCATTCGGGATTGTATCCTCCAGCAGAGGAAGGGGAGTGTTATTAAAACGGGGGTTTGTGGAGCGTGGCTGGGGGTGACCTCTTCTCTCTCAGGGTTCGGTCACCTCGGGGAGGAGCTAGAGAGGCCCTGCAGGTCTGCGGCTCTCCGTCCTCACAGAGAGGCCCCTTGACTTCCTGTGGGTCAGATATCCAGGAGAGTGAGAACATAGCGTCACTGCACAACCAGATCACAGCCTGCGATGCTGTCCTCGAGGTTCGTAACCGTGACCTGTAACCCCTGAAATAACCTTGAACCACATCGTGGTCTTTGGTGCCATTCTTACTCTTATTATTATTTTATTAATCCTCTCCCAAGGATATTTTTCCATTGGTTTTTAGAGAGAGTGGAAGGGAGAGGGAGAGACAGAGAGAAACATCAATGTGAGAGAGACACTTCGATTGGTTGCCTCCTGCACGCATCCCGACCAGGGCTGGGGAACTGCCACCAAGGTATGTGCCCTTGACCCGAATCGAACCAGGACCCTTCAGTCCACAGGCCGACGCTCTCTCCACTGAGCCAAACCGGCCAGGGGGGTGCCATTCTTTAGGTCGTCGACCTCAGGTGGGGACAAAGCCACTTGCAATGTGACCTCAGCAGCCTTTTTTGTTGTTATTGCCATAACTGATGTTATTTGCCAGTGACCTTTGGGGTACCTCTTCCCGCATCACCTGCCACCCTCATGGGCTGATTGATACTGGAGAGTCACCAATGCACTTAGGTGGCCCACTGGTCCCCTGCCAGCCTGTGGTGCCCCAGCGGCGTCTTCTGCCTTTTTCCCAGCGCATGGAGCAGATGTTGGGAGCTTTTCAGAGTGACCTCAGCTCCATCAGCTCGGAGATCCGGACACTGCAGGAACAGTCAGGAGCCATGAACATTCGGCTTCGAAACCGCCAGGCAGTTCGAGGGAAACTTGGGGAGCTTGTCGATGGTCTGGTAGTGCCCACTGCTCTGGTCACGTGAGTTACTAGTTTGAAGGGTGTTTATAGCAGGCAGGTGGGCTGGGCTGACCTCACCTACTTACCACATGGGATTCTTGGCTTCAGGTCACCAAGTGCCTTCCAGAAGTTGGTGGTTGGGTCGACAGCCCTTCTAACCTTGATGGATGCTTTAGGCATCAAAGACTAGGAGTCATCCAGGGTCAGGGGTGTAGTGAGGGCCCAAGAACAGAAAATTGTACGTAAACCCTGACTATGATACAGTAAGAGGGAAAGGAGAGAGGTTGGTTGTCAAGGATATGATTCGGAGTCTAGGGATGTCTAGGTCTCCCTCCCAACCCATCCCACCCCTTCCTGCTACCTAGGGCAATTCTGGAGGCGCCAGTGACAGAACCCAGATTCCTGGAACAGCTGCAGGAACTGGATGCCAAGGCAGCTGCAGTCCGAGAGCAGGAGGCTAGAGGCACAGCGGCCTGTGCTGACGTCAGGGGTGTGCTTGACCGGCTCCGGGTCAAGGTGAGGGCTGGGGGCATAGCCCAGAGACTAGAACCGGCTCCCTGTGCCTTCCCCCGCCTTCCCTGCCAGAGCTCATGCTCACATCCCTGGGTTCCCCTGAGGATCTTAAAAACAGGGCTGTTCTCCACCCGTCCTCCTCCTCTGCTTAACATTTGTCACTTCCCTCAGTGCTCCCAACAGAAAGGAGGCTGCAGCTTCATGCCCTGTTTGGTCCCCCATATCTAGGCAGTGACGAAGATCCGAGAGTTCATCCTTCAGAAGATTTATTCCTTCAGAAAACCCATGACCAACTATCAGATCCCCCAGACGGCCCTGCTGAAGTACAGGTCACCATGGGAGGATGGCCTCGGGGCCTTGGGCAGCCACGTGTAGTGTCCTTGGG